TCTCACTCTCCTGGCTCCATGGCAGCAGCGGTGCGAGGCAGTGAGTGGTCATGTGGACGCTGTACATTCTTGAATGCTGGCGCAGCACCTCGCTGTTCCATTTGTGAGGCCCCACGCCAAAAACCTGACCTTAACCAGATCCTGCGACTGAGCAGCACTGAGGAGCATCGCTGGGCCTGCCCCCGCTGTACCCTTAACAATCCCCAGGGATCTGGAGCCTGCTCAGTCTGTGGCTTTGGACCATCCCCTGCCACTCACACACCCCCTACCACCACCATAGCTGCCACCGCCAATGGCCTGCCGTCTGCTCTGACCGAAACTCCAACACCAACTCTCCTTCCCACAGTCCTGCTTGAGCCTCACGGGCAGCATCCAGCTAAAGAGGAAGTGCTACGACGGTCCGAGAGCAATGGAGAGGTGGGCAGCCTGGAGGTGCAGCAGTCAGGGTGGGCTTGCCCTCGTTGCACACTCCACAACACTCCCGTGGCTCTGTCGTGCTCAGCCTGTGGTGGCCCCAGAAAACTGTCTTTGCCTAAAATCCCCCCAGAGGCACTGGTGGTGCCTGAGGTGCGCACGCCTGTGCTGGGATTTCCAGTTCACACAGCAGGGGCTGCCCCACTTCTCATAGACCTAACAGATGACTCTCCTCCACCCCCTCCCTGTGATCCTCAAGAACCTCCCCATGTGTCCTCACAGTCCCTCTCCTCCCCTTTTACTTCTTTCTCTTCCCTCCAGAATAACCCAGTGCCCAGAAGCAGGAGAGAGGTGCCCCCTTCAGGGCGCCCACCAAACGCAGGCACCAACACTCCCAGTCCCACTTCACCATCAACGGCCACTGTGCCACCCCAACCAGGCCCACAGCGACCAGCCAAGCCCAAACATGCCCAACCCCAGGAACCCTCATACCCCAACAAGCGACTCAGTATCTTGGAGGAAGAAGACCCTCAGCACCACCCACTGACCCCACACCTCCCTGTTGCTTCCACAGCTGCCCCTACCTGGAAGTGCCCTAGTTGTTCTTTGCCCAATCCAGGTAACTCATCTAAGTGTGAGGCCTGTCGATCATCTCGGGCAGGCGCTGACCTTATTGACCTTGTTGGCTGCGAAACGGTACGATTTACACCGGCTAGCCCCTCCAGCCCGGACTTCAGCACCTGGGCCTGTTCCAAGTGCACCCTGCGCAATCCTACAGGTGCACCTAAGTGCTCAGCCTGTGGTTCTTCCAAGCTGCATGGCTTCCAGGAACAGCAAGCGCCCCTGCCTCGCTGCTGTGCACACTGTGGCCTCCCACCGGGGTCTGGTACGACATCATGTTCTTGCACACCTTCCTCGTCTTCAGGTCATAAAACACGTAAACAAGCCCGGGGCTACCCCTCCTCCTCCCCTGCTATTGGTCCTTCCAATTCCTCTTCCTCCTCCACCTTATCAAGCCTTCAAGAGAAGATAGGACAGTGGAGCTGCCCAGCATGTACGCTGCTCAACGACATCAAGGCCAAGAACTGTGCAGCGTGCCATACACCCCAGCAGTACCTCACCCTTCGCAAAGTGATGAAGCCTCTGAAGAGGAGGGAGAGCATGCATGTCGAGGCGCGTCGACGAAATGATGAAGGCGAGGCCAAGGAGCTTTGGGAGAACATTGTCAGCTTCTGCAGAGAGGTAAGAGTAACTAAACTACTAATGACAAGTAGCTCACATATATATTATAAGGGTTTCAGACTATCTATGTTGAGATCTGTTTTACTACTTTAATTTTTATCACCTAATAAGATCTTGCTTAAAGCTGGTTGGTTTTACTTTTGCACTGAACTTGTTATCTAAGGGTGACTAGACTAAACCCTTCTCCGACTAGGTCATTTGTTGTCCTGCAACTATGAGTGCTTGACATGTCAGTATTACCTTTTGTTTGTATTGAGTTTTCCTTGATGTCTTTGATTAATCTGCTTATTTCAATGTGTAATGTGTCACAGGGTGCACATTGCCTTGCACAGTACAGCTCTCTCATTTTAATTTCTCTTTTTTGTTACGACTCTGGCTTTGTTCCCACTCCCTCAATATTTGTAATTTCACAGAAATGCTAATAGGCTTTGTCATTGCCTCTGCACTTGCTTTGTTAGCTGGTTTTAAAACGAGCAGTGGGTGAATGTTGGCCACCTAAATGAGCTGCAGATACTGAGTGTCTCATTTCTATCGCCAGACTATAGCCTGCCCTGAGTCTGAAAGAAGTCACTTCACAAAATACTTGGTTGCAGAACTTTAACTCCTGTCTTAGGAGTCCAGCTTTATTTGGTTTGTTTTTTTTTCAATCCTGACAGCTTAGTTTGAGTCAGATGCTCTATTTCCTGTCCTCAGTTGACTCCCACCAAAACCTGGAGTTCTTATTGAGGAAGACATTGGGCGGCTTAATGAAATACATTTCTCTGTATCAGCAGACCTGCCTGTTAGACATAAAAACATTTTTGATCATTCTGAATGTAATTTCCCTTTAATGTTAACTTCACTATTTAAATTTGGGAAGTTATTAAACCATCAGAACTGTGGTTCTCCTTTTTATATTAATATACACCCTGAAACACAACATTTTCATTATGTTGAATAATAAAACTAGATCTTAGTATTGAAAAAGCTAATGATGCTATGCTTTTGTAATTCCAGACTTGTCTGTTGTCATAACGACCCTAATGAACGATCATAATGCTCCAAAGATGACAAAAGGTCATTTGTGGCGTTCATCCTTCACCACTGTTTGGAGACATAGAGCCGACTCGCCTAGCTACTGTAGTTATGATGGGACAACCTTTATTTTGCTTCACACCACTTCATGCTCACTTTGTTTGTGTAGACCTTTGATAAGCCTCTAGTTTGTTGTCATGGATATGCTACTCAGAGCTGTCACAAGGGCTCATTTGTTAAGACCTATGCTAATGAGACAAATCTGATTGGTCGAGTTAAACCTCAGAAAAATGTAGGAATTGCAGAATCCAGAAATTAGATTCAGCTAATTTTTTGTGCAGCAGCAGATTTATTTTTCTGAATTTTTTCGGGTGATGCATACCCATTTACTGCACCGCCATTGCACCTATCATGCTATGTTTACAATAGCATGGGGTGAGCTTTAGAATGCATAATTTATGTCTTCTTTGAAAGTCGCAGCTAGGGCTCACTGCTGTTAGCGTGGGAGGGAAGTTGGCTTAGTAGGAAGGAAGGATATCGGAGATCTCTCATCCCCACCTTTCCTTTCCTTTTTCCTAATTTGAGACCGACATTTAAGCTACTCGTTCTTTTAACATCTTTTTTTCTTTTTTTCTCCAAATATTTCAAGCCTCCTTCTCTCCATCTCTTCCCCCTCTGCTCTCTTCAAAGTACTTTCCCCCTTTCATCTCCTTTTTATCCCATCTCCTTCATCACATCTATCCCCACATGCTCATCCTGTGTTTTTTCTCATCCTCTCTGCTAATATCTCAAAATATGCTTTTCCCCTTGCCACCCACTGTACCCTCTCCGCCCCCAACCCACCCTCTCCACATGACTGCACTCAATTCACCACTGTATCAGATAATGTGTGTGTTTGTGTGTGTGTGTGTGTGTGTGTGTGTGTGTGCTAAGGTGAACACAGGGCTCTTCTATTTTTAGCAGCAGAGCTAGAGAGGAGAAGAGCAGAAACGATCCCTATAGTGAATGCAATCTCTAACAGCATCAACTGCTCCAGCATAGTTTTAGGGGTCAGAGAGCTGAAGGGGGCTAAAATTGTTAAGTAAGAGGCTCTAGTCGGTTGTATCCATCTCTGTCAAAGCATTAACACTTGGCAAGCACTGAAAACACCAGCGGTGAAAATGTAATTACGATAAAAGCTTTCGGTTTACCCTGTTAAGGCATGTGGGCAGTTCATTCACACAAACACAGCGAGTGTGTCCGAGCGTACGTTTCTATTTGTTTAGTTTGGGTTTTCCTCCTAGACTTGTTGCATTATAGCAGATGGTGTTGCTGATGAAATTGACTGTAGAAGTTACAGGAGGGTTTGTCCAGATTGCAACAATCAATAAGGAGCAAAAAAATGAAGCTGGAGTTGTGCTGGAAGAAATATTATTCTCTCTTCACCTGAGGGCCTTGTTGCTTTTCTACTCGCCTTGATTGGTTTTGAAAGCAAGAGGTGTGTGCTTGATGCCAGTGCCCCAGAGCATGTCCTCTTACTCATGGTGCCAAGCGAGTAAATGCTACTAAGAGCCATCAGCACCGCTTGTGAACTGTAAAACCCAGCATGGCTGGAACTCGTGCCTCTGTTCTCTCTCCATGTCACCATCAGAGGGAGCAACAAGAAGATGGCACATGGTAACAGATTAACTTTGATTTGTTTTATTTATCTCCTCAACACTGCTCTCTGTAACCACTCATCATTTGATTTGGTGCCACACTTTGGATTGTATCTGGGGTTTTGGGTTACATGTTTGGATTGTAAGTTGTGACTGCCTGCAGTGACAGGTTTTCACAGCCTGTGACAGTCATGTACGTGCCAGGCTGTTCTGGGATGCCTTTGTTTTGGGTTTAATAAGTGTAGCACTGTGAAATCCAGCTCTATGGTTCCTTGTCACCACGGTTTTTTTGAGACCAGGATGTTGTCTGTGAGATGTAGATGTCTAGCTACAAGCTTACTCTCCTCAAAAAAGCATTGTATGGCTGCCAGTTGTGCGTATTCTGGGAGATGGCATGGAGGCAGCAGGTTTTCTTAGCTCAGCAGTGAATTGGCTGATTACTGTCTTGGGTTTGCGTGCTGGCATGTGCCCAGTGAAAGACTCAGAGTTGGCAGCGCCAGGTTCTCGGTCAGCTAGATTTACACTGACATCACATTGCAAGCTCAATAACTGTTTTTGTGTACGTATTTCATTAAAACTCCTTACACAATCAAAAGCTGATAATGCCATAGCTTATATATATGTTATATGTTAATTAAATGCTTAGAAATCCATATTCTTACATACTAACTCATATGTTTTTAACATTTTATCATTTTTATTTATCGTATAAAAAAGATTTCAGGAAAACGACAAGAATTCAGTTACATAGCAGCTTATGATGGACATTAGATTGAAGTGTATTCTCTGTTTGTTGCCACCTTTGATAGCAATGCCTCCTCCTCTACCTCTGTGGAAAATCCCTGAGACCATACAATAACAGCAGGCACAAGGGTCAAACTTAAGCCAGTGAGCTACAGACTCTGTAAGCTACACGGAGACCTTGGAGGGTCAGGGTGGCCGGGCTGCATTGAAGTGATTCTGCCTGGTAGCTAATGCTGCATCCCGGGCAGCAGAATTGGATTGTGTGGGATGGCGATTAATCAATTCGCCGCACTGTGAGCCACCAGTGAGGAGCCCACATGACATCCCCTGCCTGCCACGCAGAATGACTGGCAGAGCTCACTTCTCATGCCACAAATGGGAAACCGGATAGGGTTGGGTATGTGGTTGTTTGCCCTCTCAGGTTGTACAGGAGAGTTTTAGATGAGCAGATAGTGTGACGGATAAGGTGTCGTGATCTGTTAATGTATTAATGTAGTCCAGGTCCTGTGTAGAGAGGCAGTGTTTAAATCCAGTGTGTCTTCTTAAACTCTTGGTGCTCTGCAGGGAATGCTTCAGAAAGTGAAGTGCTTTGAATGTTTGGAAGGGATGTGCACATGTGTGATGCCACGCTCACAGTGGAAGTAAGACCTCCTGTCACATGAATCCATTTGGAACTTTGTCCTGGTTCAACCCAGAATCCAGCTCTCATGTGTCATGTAGAGCCCTGCATTAATCCTCTTCCACCTGCAGACTTTGTCATACCAGAAATGCAGGGTTGAGATTAACCATCACTCTTTCAAGGCTGCATTAGCCATTTAAGAAGCTTTTTTAAAATTATCTCACCTTTGGAAATCGATTTTGTTTTTTAGATAAGCTGTCTTCTTCTAACAACCTAAATAACTTTTTTTACTTTTATTTTTTCCCTCCCCTCTACCCCATCTCTACCCCTTGTCCCCTTTTTTAGAACTCTGTGAACTTTGTGGATGACAGTTTCCCCCCCGGACCTCGCTCCGTGGGCTTCCCAGAAGGCGACAGCGTCCAGCAGCGAATCAAAAAGTGGCTGCGCCCCCACGAGATCAACTGCAGCAACTTCAAAGACCGGAACGTCAAATGGTCCGTCTTCCGCACGCCGCGGCCCTCTGACATCCTGCAAGGCTTGCTGGGAAACTGCTGGTGAGCCGCCACAAAGTGACACTAATGAACCTAGATAACTAGAATGATCTAGAGACAGACCAAGGAAATATGTCCTGATTAATGCTTTGACCCAGGACAAATGAGAATAGCCGAAAATCCCCAAAGTTAAAGGCGATTTCTCATTCCCCCTCAGCCTCTTTGAAAGGTCAGAGGAATTTAAAACAGACGACAGAGACCACTTCAAGTCCATGTGGGTTTTGTCTTAGTCTGTTTTCGATGAACACTGCAGCCTGAAGCCAGGAGACGGAGTGAGATGGAGACAGTGACAAAGAGGCAGTGAAACAATAAGTTGTGAAAGAAAAAAATGAAGCATTTGGAAGCAGAGAAAAATAAAGGGGTCACAGATTAAATGGCAGTGTTGGAGTTGGACAGATGTACAGATACACCTGACAGGGAGATTATTCACGGGAGCGTGGGTCCGGACACATGCTTTATCTCCCTGCCCTTGTTCTGTGTCTCCTTCGGGGGGTGTGTGAGCGTGTGTATATGTGTTACCATCTTCCTCCGTGCACACAACAAAGAACAGTCAATCACAAAGTTGTCCCAATACAACTTTTCGCTTCATCACCAGCACACACATCTCAAAAATAACCCTCCCGAGAGCCGAATCCTCTCATTCTCGACAGGATGTAACCCAAATTCTTCCTTTCAGACTGTGTCTCCCTCACTCTTACTCTCTCGAATACACACACTTGTCCTAATAAACCAGCCGACATCCCGGCTCCCATCAGCCAGCCAGTCAATGACAGCAGAAAGAAAAATAGTGCCAGTCACCCATGTCCTTGACTGCGTCTGCAATACAAGCTGATATTAAGAGTCCCATTATGACACATATAATTGGATTTTCATTGGTTTCTGTGGCGACGAATGGGGTTTTCATCTGCAGCAGAATGGGCCTCCACTTAAACAGATATTGATAGCAGCATATTGATAACAGATATTGCTTTGATAGTACACATTTCCAGCCTCGCACAAAAAGAGTTTCTGCCTTAAAATGACTGCTGGACAAACTCACAGTGACAAGTGGATGGAAAGAGATATTATTTTCATCTGTAAATACAGTGTTTCCAGGGGCAGACGTAGCTCATCTAAAGTTTATCTGTGTTGCTAATAAAGGAGTCAAAATTAGCAATAGGTCAGCAGCACGCAAAAACATCCTTCAGTTCATCGTCCCAAACCCTCCACGGTTTCATCAGTGCTGTATTATACCTTCTACATTTTAAAGGTAAAATAATGTTCAATTTAAAAATATATTCCTTTTAAGTGGGATCCTTGTGTCCCCAGCTGTGTTTCTTCTTTTCTGTGAAGGAATTAGCATTTTCTGATGTTGCTGTATTTTTGATTAACTAATTTCTCATGCAAGCTCATTAGGCAAGCCGTTTTTTCTTTGCTGCAGGGTGAATTAACAGTAATGGTGGAGGTAACTAGAAGGCACCAAAGCTTGACTCATCAAATGAAATGGATTTTCAATAAGGGAAATTTATGTTAAAAAACAAATTCATAATGGCTCAAGGTGCCTTACGAAGAAGGATGTTTTTAATCTGCATTCAGACGCCGCTAGTCTAAATTAGCCTAACCCCTGCTTGTCTTTTTGACAAAACAGGGCATCCAATCACCCATCCAACTGTCTGCCACGATCAGCTGATCATTGATGTCTTTTCTTCTCCATCTGTCTCACTGCTTAATTCAAGTCATCTTTGTCTCACTCGCACATCCTCTCATTTATCCATCTGTCCGTCCTCATCCAACTTTTCAGTTTCCAGTTCATTGAGTATTTTTCTCTCTCTCCAGGTTCCTGAGTGCACTGGCAGTGCTGGCGGAGCGCCCAGAGCTGGTGGAGAGGGTAATGATCACCAGGACCATCTGCCCAGAGGGGGCCTACCAGGTTCGGTTATGTAAAGACGGGACGTGGACGACGGTGCTGGTGGATGACATGCTGCCCTGTGACGATTATGGCTACCTCCTCTTCTCCCAGGTCAGAATTGAAGAGGGTTGTGATGAATCTTGTAAGGCGGCAAACGCTATTAATGTCAGAAAGGTTGCATGGACGCTAGGAATAGAGGGAAAAAGAAGTCTGAGAGAGTAGCAAACAGGACCAGAGGAACATACTCATGCATACAGACATGCACTGTAAATTTTTTATGCACTATTGTGACCCTTCAAGGTAACAAAACAGGAATAGGACGCTTGATCAATCATCAAGATTTGCTTTTTCTGCAAGCAGGGCACTATGAAGCCGCAAGATAATGCATATTAACTCCTTAATATGAGTTCAAGCTAGTTAATTATCTGGCTTTTTATCACAAAAATGTCTCAGAGGACTCCTCAAAAAAGGAATGCAAACACAGCTTCCTGTGATAAGTTCACCTCTATCAGTGAACCACATTTTGGCTTGTGGATGACTAAATGTTTCCTATTTCCCATCCCTGCAGGCCCAAAGGAAGCAGCTATGGGTGGCGCTGATCGAGAAGGCCCTGGCCAAGCTCCACGGCTCCTACTTTGCCCTGCAGGCAGGGCGCGCCATCGAGGGCCTAGCCACGCTGACTGGAGCTCCATGCGACTCGCTCATGCTTCAGGTCAGCTCCACCAACCCCCGGGAGGAACCAATCGACACGGACCTCATCTGGGCCAAGATGCTCAGCTCCAAAGAGGCTGGGTAAGAGAGGGGAACATTTTCTTTGCTGGTGTTGCTTTTCACATAATCACCTTCCTTTTTTCAAAGCAACTTTAAAAACAGAATACAAAGCACATATACAATAACCGCTGAAACAATAAACAATCAATTTGAAAAAGACTCAGCTTTCATAATCACAACTATGATCAGTGAAGTACTACAAAGCTCATTTGCAGCATATGTCAGTAATGAAAGAGGTCTGTTGATCAGGACTTTGATATGTGAGCTCTCAAAGCAACAAGACACGAGCTGAAAAGAGGCCAAATCATCTGTAGCCAAACAACCATCTGTCAGAAAACCTGCAGTGTTTTATGTATCAATGGAGAACAGTCTGAAATACAATTCCCAGACACATATATTAATGATATTTTTTCTAAGCTAATATTGTTTGTCTCTGACTTAGTGTATTGCTGCCTACAGTATATATGCTCATGACATTGCAGTAAAACCTTTGTCTTACACAATGTGTTCTTGTCTGGTAGATTTCTGATGGGTGCATCCTGTGGAGGAGGCAACATGAAGGTAGACGATGTTGTCTATGAGTCTCTGGGTCTGCGGCCTCGACATGCCTATTCCATCTTAGACGTACGAGATGTCCAGGGTTACAGGTATGGATGGGCTGGTTTTTACTCAATGAGTTCTTCTGCTTTCTTTTGATCTATGTTTATTCCCATCCTGATCACAAATATAGTAAAAGATGCATTGCAGCTGCGATAACATGAATCAAATATTTGTCAAAAAATATTCAGCTTGCAGGAAACTGCTTTATTACCTTTCTTACATCTGTTTTTATTTGTAACAGACAATATTAAAGATGTTAAAGGGAAACTTAAAATTAAAAGAAATTTAAACCAATCACAATTATCTGAGGCAGAGCTGAGCTCAGGAATGTGGCGATGGTTCCCCTGAAAAATAGTATAATGCACTGGCAAAGAAATGTCACACAAACAGCAAGAGGTATTTTGACTGCAATTCAAATTTTCAGCATGTAGGTTGCAACATGGTGGTTGTTTTAATTTTGAAGGGGAGGAGAGGATAATGTTGGCTTATATCCACAGTCTATATCGAGAGAGTCAGACTAGTCTACATATGACCTTGATGTATACAGCTCATTCACTTAAACAGAACACTGTGGTCAGCTTTTAGTACAGAGGAAGAGCTATTCAGTAATTATGCTCTTTCCCCGTTTATTACCAGGACTTTGGCAGCCTGCCATAGTCCAATTTGTCCCACTACACTTTCCTAATGATCCCAAAAAAATGTACACTTCTCATAATAATATATAAGGTCTCGTACTTTGTGCAGTTGCTTCATTGCTGTGTGTGGAGCTCACTCACTCCCTCCTCTCACAAACATAGTAGACAGAGTTACCATCAGCTGCACAGGCAGAGATCCTGGTGCGTCATTGAACATTCAAAACATCCATTAAGTTTTTACTGTCCTCAGCATGCAGACAGACCTCAGCCTAACACCTGCCCTCGCAGTGTACCTGGTTGTGCATCACAGGGTACTGCATGAATGTTCACGTAATCAGCCCACATCAGCCTGACACCAACTGGGTGGGGGGCCTGCCTCAGCTACTGCCACTGATATAATCTAATTCTCTGGGAATAACTGTTTTATTTAAATCAGTTGACTCTAAAACTGTAAAGTCAGCATTTATGATGGTAATGAAATGAATTTGCTCCACCTCTGATTCGTGCCTTTGGCTGTTTCTTCATAGCAACAGTGATTTGTTATATAATTTCAGAGTCATACGATTTCTCTGAGACAAGATTAAGATTATGAAAACTGATGGCCATAACATAAGTCTGCAAATCATATAACATTAACTGGGAGAGTTGTGTGTTTCAGTGTTAAGTAACTGAGGATGTTGTTTAAGGAAATTAACTGAAATGAGAATACAAAATGGTGAAAATACACATTTATTAGTTATCTAAGATGAAACATCAACTTTAATTCCCCCCTTTTCTTCAGCTACAGCTCCCATTCAGGTCTGATGTAGATTTTATAGCCAGAACCATGAATCATCCAATCTGTTGCACTGGCATCGGCTTGCAGGAGTATTTATCAAAAGAGCCTCACTTGTTTAAAAATGCATATTCTCAAACACAGCTTGCCTCAAATTTAAAGTTGTGTGCTATATATTATGGATACTATGAAAAGTTCACTTATGTTTAGAATTGATAGAACAGATGCATTGTTTTTTGAACATATTTCTTGATCCATAGGTAAATGAGGACAGAGGCTTGATGCCAGTAGAGAACAGGGACACACCACCTCACTTTGATCACTTTGATCAGGGCAGCATTGTGAGTTCACACAATGGAGGCTTCTTCTGTCCCGACTGCAGGAGGAAGTTGAGAGTAGCCATAAATCCCAGATGCAATTTGCTCAAGAGCCAGAGCCGCACACACAGCCACTTTAATTTGCTGCCATAAAGCAATCGCAGCGGAAGCGGCTGATCTAAAATGAGTTGGAGACCTCGTGCTAGGAGCCCGAGAAGATGAAAAGCAGCTTGAAAACAGTGATTCACCTGCATTTTTTTTTTTTTTTTTTTTTTAAGTTGTGGCTCTCCAATATGGCTTCCTGTAGCACCTTTGCACTGTAGGGAGGAGGCAGTAAAATGAAATGGGTTGTTAAAAAGTGGGCAACCATCCATGAGAGGAGCTGCAGAGATGAGGATGCTGTGTTGACCAAAGCTGCAGTCACTTAAATTGGATCTCGTATTTGGCTCCCTGTGGCTGTCACTCTTTGCTTTAGGCTGCTGCGGCTGCGGAACCCGTGGGGCCGCTTCTCGTGGAACGGCAGCTGGTCGGACGAGTGGACGGACTGGCCACAGCACCTTCGTCATGAGCTGATGGCCCATGGCAGCAGTGAGGGTGTCTTCTGGATGGAGTACACCGACTTCATAAAGTAAGAGTCACATTTACACAAAAAAGTACGATCCAGTAAGACCAGTGATTTTTTGTTGTTGTCTATAGCATCTACAAAACTACATTAACCTTTCACGCCTTTTTTCACAAAGAACAGTTAAACTACAATGGAATCAAAAGGTGAATCACCCATTCTGCCTGCCTGCAGAGTCGTGGCAGCAGCTGTAACTGACACTGAGGATGTTTTGTCAACCTAAGTTATCATAGCTCTGATATGACTTTTCTGTTGATATCTGATTCCATTGGTATGATGGACTATGAATTTGAGCCATGGTGGCTGCGGCCCGCTAACGCTACACTTACCCACATCCCTTTGTTTATTCCAGACACACAACTGTCAGAAATGTAAAATGCATGACTTCCTAAGAGGGTTTATCCCAGGGAAGATGTGCTCAGCACCAGCTGTTCAGAGCAGCGAATGCTAAAGCTTTTATTAAGTGAGAGCAGGTGAAACAATTCTCCAAATGTCCTTCAATTGTGTCCTGGTGGAAGTACAGAACGTGTGATGGATGGCTTAGTAATCTCTTGGGCCTGTGGAATTTACTGACCATCTGGTATTGACACCAAACTGAGTGACTGCGTTGTTGTTTTCAGTACATTCAGTTTGTTGACAAGCGCATCACACAGTGTTTCCCACACCATGGTGTTCATATGGAATTGTTTGTAATTTTGTTTTCGTGTTGTTGTTGCTTTGGTTGCCAGGGATTTGGCAGGCGAAGTCTCAGACTTGTCACGTCTCAGTGTTTTGTCATATTAGATTAATCCTGTCATTTAGTCACGCAGCATCAAGGATGTGAAGTGTTTTTTTGTCTTTCTGTCCTTCTTTTACATAAAATGTCCATGTCTTGAGCCCATAGACTATAAATAAGTGAAACACATAAAACCACCTTTGAGAAAAATTTATAGAACATGTACCTTGACTCTTCACTTCGGTCCATGTCCAATCAACTAACATGGATGAGGCGGGATATATGACCTATGCTGCAGTCAGGCACGGGGGGGGGGTGATCAGAACACTTTGGCTTTGCTTTTGGAGGGCTGTCATGTCGTCCATCTTTATATACACACTGGGGTTGGGCAGGTAGAGGTCATTAAACACTGTTTCCTGTACAAGTACCATTGACATTATACCTGAAAGTAAGGTGATATGAAGAAGTCTGTGAAGAACAACACAAGCAAAACCCTAATGTGACCAAAAAAAAGACAACTAAAACGAATTACTGCCCTGAAATCATCCAAAAGCCAAAAAACAATCTCAAATTTCAAAAATTAATTTTGAAAAGAATCAGTGTAACTGTTGCATAAACATTTCCGCAAGTGTTATGCTTGTGTAACTAACCTGATTTCACACTGCCAAGAAGTGAGCCCACAGACAGGCACACTCTTGCCTAGAAAAAGTTTTTTTCCCCCACTGTCAGCAAATCATCCGATCAATGCATGTCGGCACAAAGTCCAGCAGGTCATTGGGTCCACCTGAAGATGAATTATGTGTTTGTCAGTGTGTTACTCATGTCGCTCCTGTCTAACAAAATGAGAGCAATAAGTTTGCAATAAGTTCAGAGGAACCAGTGTGGCTGTCCTCCTTGGAAAAACTCCAACCTGAAAAATGTGTTCGGCCCAGACGAAAATCTCATCTGTCTTCTGGCTCTTTATTGGTTTCTGTGACAGTAAAATTATCTCTCAGATTTGCACTAAATGACAAACCCGCAGCCTGCGACTGCCCAAACCTGTTTCAGTGAAGAAAAAGAATGAGGTATGTATTGACTGTTATGCATCAACTGGGTCAAGTAGTACGGATGCTGAGTATTAATAAGGTTTCAAAAACGATAATTACACTAAACACACTAAAGTACAAAACATAAAGACACAAAAGAAGCAGACTTGTTTGCCTCTAGTTATCAAAACCCGACTGTAAAATTTCAACATACCTTCTCATTCTGTTTTGTCAGGAAGACAAAAGGAGGCTCTGAGACAGTTGTCAGAGTGAGATTAGGAAGTGATGAAATAATAGAAAAGACTGAACTTGAGAAAGAAAATGTCTCTTCGGGGCTCCGTCTTTGAAAAAGGAGCTCTGATGTGTAAGCACTAAAACTGTGTTTGTACAGTAGCACCTACAGAGGCTGTGATAATGTTTAGGATTTGATTGTGATGCATTCACATGACAGGAAGAGAGCAGACGGTCAAATTCTTGGTGGATCACAGAATCTGGAAACATGCCGACTTTTTTAATTGAAGCCATACTGTTTATAGGAGAGTCTCACTCAGGCTACAATTTTCTGTCAGAGCCTGAGAGAAAATTAACCGAACCCGACAGGCATTCGTTTTTTTTTTGCGTCTGAGCCCAACCCGAGCCGGATGTATTCCTTGATTACAGGCACATGCAGTGTAAAAAATCAATTATGTAGCACAACCAACGATAAAAACAAAGCAAAAAAATGCTAGAGTCCTTTTGCTCTGAATCAGGTATATATGTTTGTGATATATTTGACAGATAGACTGTGTTGAAATACCTTTTCCAGAGACCGCATGTGCTGGAGATGTACGGCTCACATTGGCAGTGTGGCCTCTCTAACCTGATAACATGGGGTCCGAAATGAAAAGCAAGAAGTTCTGGGACAATCACGCATCCTGATGTGGCCTGGGCATAACCTTTGTGCCCTCTCCTCCCTCAGGTACTTTGACTCCGTGGACATCTGTAAGATCCACTCGGACTGGCAGGAGGTGAGGCTACAGGGATGCTTCCCCAGCAAGGCCAGTGGCCCGGTGACCGTCACAGCCCTTACTGTGCTGGAAAGGACGGCGCTGGAGTTCGCTCTCTTCCAGGAGGGAAGCAGGTATGGTTAAGCTACTTTTTATTCCACCCCTGCACCTCCTTTCCTCCCCCTGTTGTGTTCCCTCCCCTCCTGTTTGTGCTCTAACCTCTTCATCCCTCTCTCCCTCCCCAGGCGTTCAGACACAGCTGACAGCCACCTGCTGGACCTGTGCATCATGGTGTTTCGCGCCTCCTTTGGCAGCGGCAACAAGCTGACCCTGGGCCGCCTGTTGGCCCACAGCAAGCGAGCCGTGAAGAAGTTTGTGGGCTGTGATGTGATGCTGGAGCCGGGGGAGTACGCTGTCGTCTGCTGTGCCTTTAACCACTGGCAGATGAATGTCAGCGGGACGGGAGGTCCAGCCACACCCAGTAGGTGTAAACATGCAGTGTGCGCTGCATGATTGTTTGTATACTCCACATAAACAGAAACTTTCAGTTGACTTTGAACACACAGTACCTGTCATCTTTTCCAAAAGTCTCCAGCCCAACCAGTGGAGCAGCACGGCGGCCCAGCCAGGACTTCCCTGGCTACATACTCGCCATCTATAGCTCCAGACAGGTGATGGTGGAGCAGGTGGAGGCCAACGCCACCACGCTGGCCGACGCCATCATCCTCCTCACGGAAAACAAAGGGGAAAGACACGAGGTGAGAGCAAGAGAACAAGAATTGTATCTGTTTAATATGTTTTACAATATCCTCACTCTCCAGCTTTTGCTTACACTGTCATCCCATCTCCCATCTCCCATCTCACACACACACACACACACACACACACACACACACCTCTTTGAATACATATATGCTTGTGAAGCAGGAGATTGCATGAATCTCTGTAAGCCACTTTGTGATAACACTTGAGATTTCCTCAGCAGAGTCCTGCCTTCTCACATGCACGTGTGTGCACATTATCTAACACACACACACACACACACACACCCGCTCATACTGAAGGAAACAAATTATTCTGGCACTCCTGAACAGCACTTTCCTAGAAGTGCTGTCACATTTGCTGGTATTTTAGAGGATGACAGGGCTTTTTAAACACTTGAGATCGTCTTTGTTAAATCATTCAGCTCCTCGGCTCTCTAGGAATTCACCACACACAGTGGGTGGGCCAAGCACTCCGCAGTGAGAGGCAGGCAATGCACTTCTTGTGATTCACAATATGATTAAAAAATAAGATTTTAAGGGGGGCATAATAGATAAATGATTTGACCAATTCTGGGTCATGAAAAAAAGAGTTTGGGATTCTGAGCCACAAACATGCGCTGCTGACAGATAACCATAGATTCATGGTTTAACTGAGATTAATTTGACATCAGCTAAATATGTTCTGCTGCATTTGTTTGAACTTAATGACAATGACAGGCCCCAAAAGAGAAATCAGCAGACACATCATGAGAGGGGAGAGTCATCACTCCATCAGAGAGTTGTATTGTGAATTCAACATCTGTCCATCCATTATCTATACTGCTTATTATCCATTAAGAGGGGCTGGAGCCAATCCCTGCTTTGAGGGCGAGAGGGAGGGAACACCCTGGACAGGTTACCGGGGAATCACAGGGACAACACACAGAGACAAATAATTCACGCTCATATTCACACCTAGTTTAGTGTCTCCAATTGACCTGACCCCATTCTGCATGTCTTTGGACTGTGGGAGGGAGCTGGAGAAGACACGGGAATAACATGAGAACTAACACATAAAAAAACACAATCTGGAACTTTCTTTTTGTTGTGATGTGCCTTTTTCACAGTGGATTGCAGTTAGAAAAGTGCCACTTTCTATATAGGCCAAGGTCACACTGACAGAAATATCGACAATATAGCTCTTATGGGATCTACAGACTCTGACACCTGCAACATCACCTTTACCACTTCCTTGCTGCTATTCCACCACCTGCTTTCAGCTACTTTAACTCCTCTCACCTCTTTTACTCTTTGTGTCTATTAGCATTTAGAATGAGTGAAATTTTGTCTGTAGCAGACTCTAGGGGGCCTAAGAAGATGATTTACTGAACTTTATACATTAATGGATTGGACGGGGCCAGTGTGTCTTGTAAATATCACGTGCTGTGTACATGCATCTTCAGCTGTCTCTTCTCCTCAGGGACGTGAAGGCATGACATGCTACTACCTGACCCATGGCTGGGCGGGGCTCATCGTGGTGGTGGAGAACCGCCACCCCAAATACTACCTCCACGTCTCCTGTGACTGCACTGACAGCTTCAACGTGGTGTCCACGCGTGGGAGCCTCAAGACCATCGACAGCGTCCCACCTCTGCACAGGTACACTGTCCTCTCTCTCTTTGTCACATACACACAACTCTTATGGGGCTTTTCTTTAATCACATTATATTTTGGTGTGTTTAACCTGAATAGATGATGAGGAGATTAAACACTCTGGTTCGGTACATTCGTCACAGGTGCAGCAAACATCCACCCACTATAGATGATTATATTTGTGTAAACTTAAATGAACGCAGTTATCCTAGATGATAAGCGCTCTATATTTCTTGATAATCTTCCCTTAACTGCTTTTGTTTTGCCTGTCAATCTCAATTGTTGTGTGCCCTTTAGAGACGTGAGAAATATAATGTCTGATAAACACCTGCAGAATCGAGCATGGTGTCGCTGCTCATACTTCATTAGGTTTCTCTGAGTTTAGCTTCTTTGGACATCCACTGTATGAATGCTGCCGTCGTACGGACGCATTACTGCACACATTAGCACAAATTTACAACCTCATCATCTGGAAGTTATGTCCCGCATAATAGGAAACTGTAAAGAGTCCCCATGCATGAGGACCATGTCTTTTAATGTCGTTTCCTCTCGTCTAACAAGAAGATTATGTCAATTCACTTGATAAAAACACTCAACGCTGCAGTATCACTCTGTTTTTACTCACTCGTTATTATACAGTGTTTATAGAAGGTGAAAGCATTAAGCTGCAAGGCAATTATATTCAGGATGAAATATGTCACTGGAGTGTAGTCGGAGGATCCAAGGAAAATATGAATTAAGCAGAGGAAGCCAATATAGAATTCAGACCACCTTCCTCATACCAATTTCCCAAATACACCGCCTTATTATTGTTGTTCACATAATCATCATCATATTTGTGTTCAGAATGCTCAATGATGGCCTCAGCAGCTTGATGTCCCTGTTGCAATGTCTCCCTCTGCAGGCAGGTGCTGGTCGTGCTGTCGCAGCTCGAAGGAAACGCCGGCTTCTCCATCACACACCGCCTCGCTCACCGCAAGGCAGCCCAGGCCTCTCTAGGAGACTGGACCCCCACGAAAGCCACCCACAGCCCGCAGCTCACGCCAGACATCGACGGCCTGCACCGGCCCAGGCCGCTATGACCACCGCCCACTGTTCCCCTGTACATTTACACAGACTCCACATCAATGAACTGTCAAGACCACTGGAAAACCAGACTGGGGTGGGCAAGTGGTGTGTGCAGCCCTGAAACACAGAGAAAGATGTGTATTTGTGTGTCCATTTTTTTGAATGAACACACACATGAATGTATAGCATGAATGGGCAGCATTTATGTGCCCCCCCCCCCCCCCCCCCCAATGCTCCATAAATGCTGAAATCGTCATCCGGCCCTCATGCACTCTGTCCCTTGCCAAGTGGATGTGCCATGTCAGGATTAAATTAGGGCAGCGGGCTACGTGGAGTGACAGGGATGTACTCGCAGGACGATTAATCACCAAGTCATCTGAGAGGATCTACTTTGAATTCTGGAGGTATTTTGTACAAGCGCTGTATGTGGAACAGATGTCAGCCCAGGTTTTCGTACGCTCGGAGATGACCCAGCTTCACAAAAAGCCAGGGTGGAGCGCTGTTACTACTGAGCCGTATGCCTGCAACGATCGGACACCCCACCCCCATGTCATGCACAGGGACAGCAAACAAAGTGGGATACGTCAGTGGGGTTTATCTCGCCCTGTCCTTGATGCGGTACTTAATGAGCCAAACCCAACTTCTAGTAACTCATAGTTACACGTTTTTTTGTTTGTTTTTTTAATATACACAATATCAGTCTTACTTCTTTAATACATGAGCTTTGTCGCCGTTTTGTCCATATTTGTGTTTTTGAGATCGTAGAACAAGCCATCATTCATATCAGTACTGTGAGTCCACACTCTCCATCACCGCAGTGCTGTCAAAGCGCTCTGTAGCTCAGGACCAAACTCACATCTTTACAGTTGGCTGGAGTCGAGCAGAAACCTCAGGCCGATTCAGTGACAGGTGTGTGGTAGCTGGAATAGCGTCTCTCTTTATCTCTGTTTGTTCGTAAAAGAAACGCTCACTGGGAAGGATGTGGTGTAGATGGCGCTGTTATGTTTTTAGGAGGTATTGTTTTGTGGAGAACTGACACACAAACCGTTTTTAGACATTAATCCCGTAATTTTTCCGCACAGTGGGGTCCAGATTTTGCCTTTCACATATGAAGAATGCCACAGGAGATTCTCTGGTCAAAAAGTGTTCAGGTGAGGGGGGGGCAAAGCATGCAAGAGTCAGGACGCAACGTAGAGATTTTTTGTTTACAGTACATCAACACTGGCGTTGGCCTGTGTCACCAAATGTTCTTCGAATCTCGTTGTCTTTCCAAGTTTACATATTTGTCATTGTCCTCAATGTGTATGGCTTCTCTTTTTTTCCTGACATATTTGTTTTTTTAATTTTTGCATCTGTCGCTTGTTACAAATCGTGCCCACTGAATCCTCCAGAGAATCTCCTGCACTATTGTCACATGGGCCCACTCGGACATTAGCCAGAGTTTTTACCAGGAGGTTGGCAGGAGAACACATGAAGTGTTTGCAGCAACTGACTCGGACATTTGCATTCTCACGTGAACCTCCTCCAGATAATTACAGGAGTTCAGTGCATGTCAGTAAACAGCTATAATGAAATCCATACGTTTGCGCTCCAGAGTAAAAAAAACAAACCTACATCTTAGCCTTCACCCTCTAAAATTAATTTACTCTCAGCCTCATATTTGAACACACATCCTACAGAGTGATTTCATGCTGAATCTTCTGGATTGTGACACCTCTCACCTCTTTGTGTCTGGTCCTTTCTAGTACAGAAGGTCAGTGAGCATTTTGTCAGTACTTTGGGAGCACTGGAGAAGCTGCTGTTTGAACAGTCAGTCTGCCACAGGGGAGCTTTTAAGAAGAGTTGCCGAGTTTACTCTGGGAGGTCAGGGACCACATTTTTTGTTTGCTCGGGTGCAGTGCCAGCATCTGGGCCATCCTCCCGCAAGATTACACTGACAGCACATTAGCGACAGCACGGATTCCTCGTGTAATAACAAATCTCCATTTTTGTCAGACTGCATGCACACGCAATAAGAGAGACGAGGGGACCCCCGAGACGTGTTGTGACACAGAAAACGGTTTAGTTCTCTCTGAGTTTCGTCTGCGTCGTTTCTCAGGATGTGTTCCCCCCCAGCTGTTTCAAGCACGCCCCACCCAGTTGTTCGTTCCAATTTAACCGACGTCGTAGCCGTTAGTCATCTTTCACTGAGGATCTTTCAGTCGTCACCATGGCAACATAGATATAGAGGGAGGACTAATAAGGAACTATGACAAGTAACAAGTTGATTTCTTACTATTATCATCGTGAAATGAGAAAAAAATCCCTGGAGGACTTTGATGGGACGATGATTGTTTTGGTAGAAGAAACATTTTTATGTCGATATTTTCTGAGTCTGAAAAGATCCTCCGTGAGATGATTTGCCTCACGACTTTGTGACCTTGAATTGAACAAGCGCTGAAACGTGCATCGTCTCGTGAGTTGTTCCTGTTGTCACCACACGGTCTCGTCTTGTCCTCGCCGGTAGACATCGCTTCACAACACCTTCAGGGCGTTTTGTAAGAGAACTACTACAGCAGTGTAACGTTTCTTTAAAGAAACCTGAAGCTGAAGTGACTGTAAATAAGTTTTTCCAAAGAAACAGGATGTGTAACGACCACTTCCAGATGTCCCTACGAGTGTGAGTGTGCGCGCGTGCGACCCAGCAGCTGTGGAACGTCTAATTTATTAGTATAAGTGATTTGCAGGCCTGTTGTCTAATGAATACTGTTGATTACTGCGTCGATGAATGACAGATAAAGGAATGTGATAATTTAAGGCTTTACATTGAGCCCAGGGGGATGAGCTTGAGGAGAACGTGCACTGAAACACCTGCAAAGACGAGGCACCTCATAATTCAGTGTCGCTGCTCAATCACTTTACATTAACATGAGATTGATTTTTGTTTTTACTTTTGATTTTTTTGTCATTATCGTCACTGTTGCTCTTGCTTGTGTCCCATGAACCCACTCCTCTCCTGTTTAAGATGTGGTGGGCACTCTTCTGTGCTTCAGGGGCGCCCCCTGCTGCTGAAGAGGCTGCGGCCAGCTGGGAAAAAGCTGGAGTGGCAGACACTACGCATTTCTCTCTCTCTCTCCTCCCATGTCTGGTTTCCTCCTTGTAAATTGTACAGACTGCAAATATAAGCCACACAAAAATATTTAAAAAAAATATTTGAATAAAAAATCAACTGACCCTTTTAAACTTGTAAAATAAAAGACGAAAGTATAATAGTAGAAATTAAAAAAAGAAACCTAATGCTGAAAAATTGGATCTCTGATGAATATGAGATATATTTTAACGATCTTTTCTGTGGGATGGATATGTGTATATGTGTACAAAACTTATGTATGTTTAATTTTCAATCTCAGGTTCCGATGGACCAAATAAATTTTTTTAAATTAAAAGGCAACATTTGTCATCATTGCAATCGTAGAACATAAGATGGTTAACATCCCTTGTATCTTTGAAGGTCTTCCGCTCTAGTTTGAAGATAAAATGCCGACCTGCAGCAGATGTCAGGGGATCACCAGTATATTTGGGACCACCAGCAAATTTTCGGGACAAATAGCAGCTATGTATCTTAGCTTCACCAGGTGTTTTTGACCCACAACAGGCTGATCAGACCTGGGTGTGTCCCAAAACATCTGGGGTCTTCCTCTCATTCGCTTCATCCACAGCAGCATCCCAGGGTACTTTTGATTCTACAGCATGCAGGGTGTTGGACCAGAGCACCAGTTCGGGCCTTAGTGTGGTGTTGACTATTAGGCTACATAGTGTTTCCCTCATCCATTCAAATGTATTACACACTAACAGAGAGGCTGTGTTTGCTTGTGATTCATAGAAATGACCTGACGAGCTGCAGATCACACGTTCCGACTGTTGCACTTGAAGAATAATGAGAGGAAGTCAAAGCTTTCACGCTGCAGATACTTAAAAACTGTTTTTCATTCACTCACACACTTGTTTACTGAACATTTACTGATTCCAGAAATCCACTTTCTGATGTGTCTTATCACTTACTCATCTCTCCCCTCATCCCAGCCCAGTGTGTGTGACATCTGAGGAATATATTTTATCCTTGTGTGTGTGTCCCGCTCGAGTCTCCACCTCTTCTCCCTTCACTCCACCCCACCCAACTTTTTCTCAGAATGTCCATCTGTCCTGCTCTCCGCTCCTCTTGACAGGCCCCCACTTTCCTTGAAGGCCAAACCCACCTCCCCTAACTCATCCAGCTCCCTCTCTCCCACCCTCTAATCTCAGATGCCAGGAGCACTCTGCAGTCCCCAACCCCAGCCCCCCCCCCCAACTTTGGCTCTGTTGGGGGTTGGTTTTGCAAGACTCCAGCAGAGGAGGCACGGTGAGGGCTCCACGACGTGCTCACATCCAGCATAAGGAGCTGTCAATCACTTGTCCTCTTCTTTCCTCTGCTGGGAAAACTCACAGAATCATCTAGAAGCCACACCGCCCGTCTGGAATCACAGGTACAAACTAACACTAGACTTCTTGGTGTGTACTGACCATGCTCTGGTCAGATCATCAGCTGTGGGACTTTATCAGTCGTGGTCAGATGTGTGAGGACAGAAAGATCTGCCCTCTCGTGGGAAATCTGTTCAGTCCTAACCCTTTGCATGCATTACCCAGACACTCTGCAGATACCAGGCAACTAATTAGATAAAAGGCCTTTCTGAAGACGTGACGAAGCAAAATCTTACCCCAGCGACGTTGATGTGAAATTGAAAAGATGCAGAGTTCCTGAAAAGTGGAAGAAACGCAGTTGTGTTTTCAACAAGGAGCGTTGAGATGGCAAAACAGTGTCTTGATGTGATGAAGTATTTATTGTGCTGTTGTCAAGCCAAGTCAAGGGTTTTATGGCTGCAAGATGCTTGGAGGTAAATGCAGTTCACAATAACACAATAAACAGGAAGAAAAATTGTAATAAAGGCTCTTCATCCTAAACAAAAAGAAATAAAGTAAAGCAGTTGCAGACATGCATGATTCTAAACAACCTCCAGCTAAATCTAAAGACAGGCGGAAGGAGGCGTGTGAGTTACAGAGATGTGTGTGAACCTGTATTTATATCTTTGTGAGGACCATTTTAAGCATAGACCTGAGAGTGAGGACATCTTTGGAAAGTGAGGACATTTAGAGAGGATTTTTTTGTTTTTGTTTTCTTTTGTCAAGAGCATGACGAACAGTGACGCAAAGAACATGCCCTCCGCTTGTCTGAGGTTTTGAAGTGAGCCTCTGGTCGTGTGTGTGTGTGGGGGGGGGGGGCTCTTTTCACTGTTGTTTGGGGGACATAAAAAAATATCACATATCCTGGAGAACCTTATTTGTATTCCTTGAAAAATCTTATCCTCGGTTCTGAAATAGCTTTTTTGTGGGGCTCCTGGCGGCAGTGGTGCATTATCAAGAGAAGCATTTCTCACCCTGTCTGGAGTCATCATCTATAAAAGCAGAGGAAATCTTTCTGGGTGCATTTAGATAACTTGCGTGTGAGGGTGAACTCTAAGAATACATCTGTGTGTCCAGGCTGCTCTGCTTTCTCTCATTTGTCAGTCTGACCTGTGTCCATTCACACAAGTCCCTCACTCCTGCGTATCTGTCACACAAAGCCATGAAAACTAATGGACGTGATATTTCAGAGTGTCAGAGGGCCCTGCTGTTGTTGAGGGTGGGGGTGTGTGTGTGTTGTCTTTCCTGGTACCAGGCCCAGTTTGACTGAATGACCCATGACAGGCACCAAACCGTTGCATAACATTTGATAATACTCTGAGACAGGGTTTAGCGACACTGAAGAGTTATCACCCTGTGGTTATTTTATCTTTTGTTGTCATGATCACGGGGTGAACTTAAAAAAAAAACATGGCACACAAAGTAAACTAGAACTGACGTGTACTTATCTGACTGGACCGTGCAGCGTCAACAAACCACAAACAACAAGATGTTTATCATTAGTTCTGATACTGTTAAATATCTCTCCACGTTCGGAAACAGGCCAATGTTTTTTTGTCTGATACGTTCCTCATATTTTCCTTCCAGAATCCACTTGTAGAAATGTCATATTAATGGCTAATAAAATAATACATGTATTTATTATGGTGGCATGGTGATTAAGTGGGTAGTACTGTTGCTGCAGCAAGTAGGTTGCAAGTTTGGATCCCGGTTCAGCCGTGGCCTTCCTGTGTGGAGTTTGCATGTTCTCGCAGATGTAGATTAGGTTCAGTTGAATTGGAGATCGGCTGTGGTTCGCTGGTGACCTGTACAGGATGTACTCCACCTCATGCCTAACATCAGCTGGGATTGGCTCCAGCTCAAGGCGTTATCCAAGGACCGGGCTGATTGTTCCAGTCTCATAGTAAATTTAATGTAAATGTGTTTTTCTATCTTTTGAATATATGATTCTTCTCGTAGTGGAAAGCCAAGGCCTCAACATGGCATCTCAGATCCCAGCCCTCCCTCAGTCCTACGCTCCTGGGACCGATAGCGTCTTTTCTGATCAGTCTGGCTTTTACTCTCTGGACTCCAACGTGCCCGGGCTCTCCAAGGTGATTCTCAATAAGCTCAACATGAAGGACTATGGAGAGTACAGGTAAAAACAGACTCTGATTTGTTAATGTGGACACTCATGTTAGAAATAATGAATTTCATTTCCTCATTGCTTCAAATGTTTTGTGCCAACCAGGGCTGCCCTTGAGGGAAAAGCTAAAGGAATCTCCTTCCGCAACTATAAGGAGATGTTCCAGAAGATGGAGGAGACCTTTAAGTTCTGCACCGGCTGCAACAAACTGCCGGAGCATCTCGGCGAGGGCCAGACCCTGAAGCGTTGTGTGAAGTGAGTGCAAAGCCCCAAGTGATGGCTGACTCTTGAGCTTGCCAGTGTGCTCCTTTTAGTAAAGGCTCTTAGCGGCGCACTGCAATACCCTGGCATTAACACTGATTAACATTAATCATTGTTGACCATCAGAGTATTTTAGGGCCACTGAAACCCACAGCGTTCTCTGCTCAGCTCCATCATAACCTGGCCAGGACATTGTTTTGACATCATTGCCCTGATAGTTGTCATGTGTGAAGCGTTACCCTATGATGACCGACCGTCAAGGTGCGGGCAGCTCCACAAAGGTGGACTATGGCCAGTGGCAAATATAACTAAGTCCCATGACTGTGATTCATTTCTCTGCAGTCTTGCAGCTTATTATGAGCAGCTTACTTTAGTTTGTACTGTCACAGCACCGCAGATATTTCAAGGAGCGTACTGAGAGTAAGGGATATTGTGTTACTTATACACAAGGGCCTCGTTGTTTTTTGTATGTCACCTTTCTCCAGCAGATTCAGACACACTCTCTTGCTCTCTCTGTCTCTCACACACACACAAATGCACACACACTCCCTCATGCATGTGGGTTCCCTTGACATTCTCAGCTGCTACTGCCTCTCTCAGAAAAGTTACCGGGAGCAGCAGACATTTAGGGGGACGAAAACCCAGAGTTGCTGACGAATAAAAACCCTCCGGACGTTTGACATTTGAGAATTACCACTAACAGTCCAACAGAGCCTCTACATGCTTTCCTAAATCTGTATCTCTGAAAAACACGTATATATATATATTTTTTTTATCTTTTGTCACAGCAACCTCTGTTTCCTCACATTGTTTTGCCTCCTTTGTCCACTTGTAAGCCTCTTTTTGGAGGATTAGTGTGCCCGGTGTGCACTGTGTCACAATTCATTGGCTGATAAATTGTTTTATGTAAATTCAGGCGCCTCCAAGGCAGCAAATGATTGCAAGGTAAAGTAATATCTCCCTCAAAGCGCCAACTGGCCTTCACATTCCTAATCACACATTACCTCACCACACCACCTGAACTGTGCGACAACACACACACTAACACACACACACACACACACACACACACACACACACACACAAGTCATATGATCATGATTTAAATTGCAGCATGTGACCAGCATGAATGTTTTGGTCGTCTAAAACAGGACAGAATCCACCTTAAGAGTCACGAGTATACAGTAGAAGAAGGTCAAATGTTGATTCTTCTAAGAGAATGCAAGATGCTATTTACATCCTGGCACAAGATGTTCTTACAATAAATCTTAATGATTATACTTAGGCATAGCAGTGCAAAGCTAAATAATACTAACAGGAAGAAATTAACACGCTCACATTTCATTGCTAATATCTCTGCAGTTAGCAGGTATAATGTTCACCATGCAGGGGCGGAACCATGGGCAGGGCCATGAAATCTGATTGGCCCCTGAGGTGCCCCTTTCCTGTCAGTAGTCTTAAAAATAAACTTGTCACTTACCAAGAATACCAACAGTAGATAATTTAATTTGTAAAGGATTTTTATCTTCTAAACATGGGAGAAGTACATAATTTGTTTGAGTGTGGAATAATTTTCAAAACATATTCAATGCTCAAAGCTGTAGAGCTAACAAGTAAACAAGAAATGATCAAATGTGCAGCTCACTGAATAAGGACACATTATTGGCCCCTTTGTGTGGCCCCTGATTTACAAATATCCTAGATCTGCCACTGTTGGCAACATTTGGTAACAGTAGAGAACATTACCCTGTCCCTGTAGTTTGAATATTTCAGTCTTCCTATACATGCTACTACACTGAATTTATCCTGTTTACATTGTAAATGTTATTGTTATGTGTTGCTATTATATGTATTATTTCTTCTTATATTTATATATGGCCCTTATTTTTATATTTAATTATATTAACAATGCAAATATTGGTATTATTTTATGATGATGCTTCTATTGTGATACAGCAAATTTATGGGACTGGATGAAATATCTAAACTTAATCATCTTAATTAAAGTACAACAGTTAAAGCTTTAGACAATGCAGCTTTCTGTAATGAAGCAACTAATTGAGCAAACTGCACATTTGAACCTGATGACGGCTCGAGATGAAATGTCGGCGGTTCACTGGAGCAATGGAGGATTTAGTTTGTGAAACTTTTTAGTAAAGATGGTTATTTTCAAATAATTCCCATGATTTCCCTCACAGGTGCTTGAATGTGTACTATTGCACCAAGGACTGTCAGAGAAAAGACTGGCCTCTGCATAAAAAGGTCTGCAAAACGCTGCGTCTGGTGGCCATTGACAGACTGGTGGAGTGGCTGATGTTCACTGGTGAGCAATAAAAAGAATATGCTGTTCAGATTGAAAAGGCCTTAATAACTGTTTGAGTTTAGAAAAATGCGATGTTGCATTAATGAGGTAGTCGGCTGTATTTTAAAGCTGAGCTGCAGAAACTGTGACACAGTCGCAGTGGAATATCTTTGTGATTTAGAAGTTTTAATGAAAGTTCCTTTGAATTTCTCTTATTGCTTTTTCGAGCTTTTCTGTAAACTTGACAGGTAGAGTCAACATGTGTTGGTGTCCTCATCATTAATGTTCTACCACACACAGGAGCCCTCCCATTCCCCACTGAGGAGTGGTCCAAGTCAGCCGCTGAGGTGAAGAACTGGGACGACTGGCTGCCAATGCAGGGTGACCTCACGCCACGCCTGGATGCCATTTTGTCCGGTGCCGACATGGCGACCCTTTGGAAGAACGCCAGCAGGACACAGCCGGATGACGCTGACCTGCGACAGTCTTTGTGGCGTCTTCAGAGCGAGTTCCTCTCTCGAGTTCTCACAGTTGGGATGGCGGTTCAACACTTTGGCCTGGATTCGTGCGCCAAACCCCTGACCATTCACGTGGCAGGGGCGTCCCACAATGAGACCATGAGAGCGAGGCTGACAGACTATGATGAACTCAACCACATGTTCCCCGGACACCAGGGCATAGAGATCGTCATGGTGGGACCGGAAGTGGTGGACGGCCCGATCATGAGGCCCCCTCTCAGGGTGTTTGGACCCAAGCAGAGGGTCTTTATCAGCGCCTATAAGGGGCTGTACCATCAATTCTGGGAGGAGTTGGTGGAGAAAGAGGAAGCAGCCAAGCCAGACCTGGTGGTTGGATTTCATCCTGGTATGTAAACACAACAATGAGCCATCGTGGAGATGTGATCGTACAAACTCTATAATCTTGAAATAGGTTTGGTTTAGAGGTTTAGAAGTGAACCAGGAGAGAGAACTAATGACCTCTCTCGATAAACAGAGCATGGAGGAGATGACTAACATACTACATCTGGCCTATTCATTACTGCCAGGCTTTTATTGGGGATTAGGGTAATTAATAGGAGCAGCTGGGAAAGATTTTGACTTCGGATTGCTGGACTCAGCAAAATGTCGATAAGCTGCCCTTTTGAAAGGGGAGTCTCAGTTCACTCCCTCGGAGTATTCACTCAGGCGGACATTTGGTTTCTGTAGAAACAGTGGAAGTCTTCTATGTCTTCAGATAAACCACAGCAGCGGTCGGCAACTGGGTCAAAACCAGATCATTTGGATAATTTGATTATTTAATTTAACAATATCAGACTGACACAGACACACAACACAGATGCTGATCTCCATCATGGCAACAACATTCACAGAATCACTTTTCCTTGAGCTAGGGTAGGGTTAACAGAAGGTTTTACTACCATAGACTGCTCTGCACACAACGTCCAGCACAAACGATACAGTATAATTTAGAAATGTTTGAGGAGGACTCACTGATGACAAGGAATAACTGTGAAATAGCTCTGGAGCATTAACACAGGACAAGAGAAGAGCCCATTCCAAACAGACAGGTTTAGAATGGGCAAAAGCAACTTCACATATTTCATAAAAAACAGAATCTCAGACTAAAACTTATCCCAATTCTCCCCCTCATAGACAACCACCTCATTAAAGTGGCACCATACAACCCGACACCTCCTTAAGCTCTGGCACTGACTCTGCCCCTCTGACCCTTTAACCTGCAAATCACCAGTAAAGCCCAGACCCCTCCGCACCCATAACCCCCGGCTCAGCAGTCACTGCAGGCTCCCACATCGAGCTAAATATACAGTGAATCAGTCGTCCTGTGAGCAAAGTGCCTGAGAGGCTGGCTGCATTTCATACTGCAAAGCTGGCAGAGCGCTGCATTATAACGCTGTTTATGTGATAGGGGAGCAGGCGGCGTGACACGAGGAATAGAAGACGTGTGTGTGTGTGAAAGTCAGAAGGAGAGAGAGAATGAGAGAGAGAGGGGGGAGGCGAAAAGAAAGCTGTGAAAAATTGATAAACAGAGGATGCTTGACCTTATAGAACAGGAGAGGCTGTCGCCTCTCAATAAGGAGACGGATGTGGCCGTAGTTAAGTCGTCCTCCATGACACGTCCTGAGAAATCACGTTTTTCCGTTTTCACAGAGGAAACATCTAACCATCAGTTATTCACAGGAAGAAAAACAACAAATTCAAACAACAGGACTGAAATGATGAAATGATTTAATAATGTCAGGGATGCACATGGAGAAAAGGATTTATGTGTGCATTCCACAATTGGGGGATTGAAATGACTTTTATATTTGTAATTAGTTCTGATGCTTGACATGATAGCAGTCATTAACAGTCACAGTGCAACATTTCTGTTACACCTCATCTCTTGAATGTCTAAATGCCGTCACGTTTATACTCCCTCTGATGAGACGTGTAACCTCTGTGATGTTTGCGTCGTAGCGTGCATTATTCAAATTAGAATCCCTGGAAAGATCAGTGGATAGCACAATACCATCTGTGCAGCAGTATCATGGGCCTTACAGCTCTCTGGCCTCTGTGGCAAACTCTTAACCAGTACACACACACACACACACACACACACACACACACACACACACACACACACACACACACACACACACACACACACACACACACACACACTGTTACAGAACAGCTGATGCTTTAAAAAATGCATCACTTGCTTTCATATTTCTCACATGCATAGTTTTTAATATATCTGTCTGTTGGACAAACTAATAATGTGAGATTTTATTTCTCTGCTCCTCCTGGTTTTGTTTGATTCAAGGACATTTTATGCTGGATGGATTTACAGCATTTGCCGCCACAATGACTTGAACCTCAGTTATCAGGCTGAAGGGCGAGATATTCACCACAACTACCCTGCTGCTCAGAAAAAAAACCCATAATACCACTGATGTAAACCAGAATCAGGGGAAAGAGACATCTGTCAGTTAATATGCTGCAGAGATTATGAAGCCAAACAGCTTACATATAGCAGATCCACCCCCAAAATATTTTTCGCTTTCTCTAACATTGTGAGATTAGACTGTTTGAAGGGCCTTGGCGGAGGTATTGCTCCACTGAGTGCTTTTCTAGTCTAATATAACTTTAATGGCCCTGATACACTGTCATACATATGCTCCTACATGGCAACTCTGAAACCCCCACATTATAAATCTTAATTTCATAGTAGTATCGTTTAAGTTCCATGCATAAACCAAATTCAAAAAGATTTACATGGAAATCTGATCACAAGTGTGCAGTTATTGTGTTTTGAATGTTTTTACTCAGGGTTCCATGCTAACCAGGGTTTGGTGGAAGGCTGGCTGCCAACTCTTCTGCTGCTCAGAGACTGCAACATCCCATCCTTCTTCACCATGTACAGGTTAGTCACATGACTGTATGGAAAAAACGTCTTTTATAACAGGAATAATAACCCTGAACAGTATCGAATATATGAATGTCTTTGTGCCAGAGGGCCTCATTAACACACAGCGTAAACCATCTGCTCCCCTAAACTCTCGCAGAAAGAAACGTCATAACTGATTAATGTCGACTCTGTTCAGATGCTGCACCTCCTCTGTGGAGGAGTTTTATTGGTTCACCCACAAATCATGTCTGGTGTCCCTGCTCCTCACCCACCTGACCTCATCACCACAGTCCTCCATCTGAGCTCAGTTGTTGTTGCCCACGTCACACCACTGCTTCCACACCTCAGCGTCACTAACCCTCCGGTGGCCAATGCCTGTTCCCTGTTTGTTTCCTCTGCTGCAGGCGGTCGCAAACAAACTCCCCCCGGTAGCAACTGTAACTCGAAGATATAGCAAAGTTATTGATGTTGTTCTCTTTCTCCCCTAATCCTGCCGTTCCTCAATAATTTCTCTCAAACCCTTTTCTTGAACAGGTGTTTCATCTTCTCACCTGTCTCTCACAAGGACCATGAAACCGAGCTCACTTGATTAATTGATCCTCCACTGTCTCTTTGTCCCCCCCCCCACACACAGTGAGATGGAGCTCAAGTACTCGATGCAGATCCTGCTGGAGCTGGAGATGAACATCAGGGACAGCGGCTGCAATCCGTTCGCCTCGCAGAAGCCGGAGCAGGTCCAGGCCTGTCCCAACAAAACGCCGGTCCACTGCAACTCGCATTACATCTGCTTCCAGGGACTGCTGCCAAGAGACGACTTTGGTCCAGACAACTAAGAGGATCAGATGTTGTTTGTCAGAGGTCCCTCCTCTTTAAAGATGGGGAACATGGGAACGTCGTGGACTGTGAGGTTTCCCGCAGATTTAGTTTAGTGAATTCTAGCGCTTAGTATTAGGTCCATCTCCGTCAAGGTCCACAAGTCGCCTTAGATTCAGTCTAGCTGCACCAAATTGAACTCACTCATAGATGCCAGAATTTTTTCATTGCAATCCATGAATTATTCCCTTGGAAATCGATGAAAACATCAAAAAGCACCCTTTTTTGTAATGTAAAAGAAACTGTAATCCATCTGGTAATTTTTTAATAATCTTGTTCACAATCAAACCAACAAACAAACAAATGGACAGAGGTGAAAACATAACCTCTTTAGTGGAGGTAATAAAGTTCATTGTGAAGGACGATGGCAATGAGGGGACCAGCAGGACACAGAAGGTTTGTACTTCATCTGTGCCCTCGGGTGCATCATGGGTTCTGTCCTTATTTGATAGTTGTCTATAATTTGCTTCGCAGCTGAATTACTTCCTAGATCTCACATTAGATGCAAGACACGGGCCACATGAAGTAAAATTACACTGAAATAAATCATGAGTCTCGCATTGTTATTTTTCTCCTTCATCTTTGTGATTTTCTGTGATTTTCTGTTGACTTTATCCAAACCTGCTTTTATTCACAGCTCAGTCCTGAACACTCCTTTTCTTCAATAGACAATGTAATAGTATTTTCTGAGTGGAGTGGAGACAATTTCATCTTTGATAAAAAAGTACAAAAAGTCAAGCAGCAGTTGGTTAATGGCTATTTTCAGTTTTAATCAGAGTAAATTATACAGAATGGCATTTTATTATAATATAAAACACAGCGTGAGCTACAGGGTTAAATATTAATGATTAGATAAGTGCTCATCAATTCCACAGCCTTTTATATGGAAAATTATTGCATTATAATACTGTACATGGACAAATCATAGAATTTTGGCACTATAGCATAAAATTATAATCTTGGAATGTGGAGAAAAAAAAGTGAAAAAAGCTCTGACTCTCGCTGGATCATTTGAAAATAATATAATAATAATGTTCAATCATGACACTGATTCCACACTGTGTTAAACATAACCATTAGGAAAATAATGGCATGTGTTTCTTGTTTCGATTCATAAAAGAGGAATAGTCTTGAGATCTCTTTTGGAACAGTGACCTCTAGTGGAGAAAAGGTGGTAAAACAATTATTGTATATTGTAGGTTATGTTGTAGTGGTGAAGCTCTGGAGCAGCAGTGGTCACAGACTATTTCCTGGTGATTTGACAAAAGAAACCTAATCAAATTAACCCAAACTAATTAAAAGCAATGAGTTGTTGTCCTGCAGGAATATAACAATAAAATAATGGGTTCATGTAAAAACCTGTGTGTGTCGATATAAATGTGTTTTATATATAATGGATCATATGTCGTCTCCTTGTAAAGTCACGAATGGTCTGGAGTTGTCAGATCTTTCCAGAAGGAAAGGCACAGGTGTTAAATCTGGCAGCAGCAGCAGCAGCAGCCCCCGACAGGCTGCTCAGATAACAAACCTGAGGAGAAGCAGAGGAGGAAACACAGGAGCCAGTGAGAGTCCCACAAAATGACAGAAACTCAGGGGTAAGTAGCTTTTAACCCTCTTTGCTTTCCTTTCCCTGTCACTTTAATTTGAGAGAGCATGTCTAAATCATTCACCACTTCACGACCCCATTAAAATCCTGGTTGTGTGAGGACACGCGCAGTGTGAGCAGACGCCTGGTGCTTGTTACCAGTAACAACGTGACATTTGAATGGCATTTTGTGACACTGGCCCGCCACCACAACCTGTTTCATTACTTTTGCTCCCTGCTGTTGCTCGCTGCTTCTCTCCTGCAACATTTTTCACATGTGAATCTATGCAAACCCTCTCTACTCCACATGCCTTTTGTCCCAGTCTAATAATAGAAGAGATCTGGCCTCACTGGTGGTTGGTGAGAATAGAGTTCAAACATATTCTGACATGTTGGACTCTTGCAGTGTGAAGTTGAAGTTACTGATCTTTTCATTTCCGTCCTCAGCGCTGCTCCGGACACTGGGGGTAAACCCATGGCCTTCCACTCTCAGAAGGAGATGTTTGAGAAGATGGAGGAATCCTTTCAAGTGTGTGCACATTGTGAGAAGAGGCCACATCAACTCTCAAACCCACAGAACCTGAAGCGCTGTGCGAGGTAAAAAGAGACAGGAAGAGATTTCATCAAATGAAACTATACCTCCAAGTTAATTTGTTATCGTGTGTGTGTGTGTACATATGTCATTGTAATTATAAATATAGTAATATGATAGATAGAAACATATAGAAGGTTAATGAATAGTGTATAGTATAATGTAGTGTAGTGTACTATAGTATAGAGCTGTGCAGTATAGTACAGTTTAATATGGTAGTATAATATTGCATAGTGTAGTGTAGTATAGTGTAGCAAAGTACATTAATATAGTAACCTTTGCAGAAAGTATTTTATGAGTATTAATTTTCTGTTTTTAATTTCATAGTTGTTTTTCTGACTGACGTCATGTATGTGTTTTGATATTTTGTCCGATCCCCAGGAAGAAGAGCAGCAGCTGCTCGATCTTAATAAAATCATGAATCCTGAATCCAGGTCGGGAATGTCAGAGAAAATAGGTGTTTAATATTTTGTCCTCTCTCTGCACAGATGTGTAAATGTTTACTACTGCTGCAAAGACTGTCAGAAGCAGGACTGGCCCAAACACAAGAAGCTCTGCCCACTGCTGCGTCTCGCTGCCATCGACAGAGTTGTGGAGTGGCTCGTGTTCAAAGGTAAATACATCCTCACAAACCGTCAAAGAAAGAAGTCAGGTAGATTCTTCTTCTTTATGCATTTATTCATCTTCCATCACCAGGAGAGCTTCCATTCTCCACAGGGCAGTGGTCGAAACCGCAGTCAGAGGTTAAAGGTTGGGACGACTGGCTGGCGATGCAGGGAGATCTCACAGCTCGCCTCGATCCCATTTTAAACGGAGCCAACATGACAGAGCTGTGGGTCAACTCGTGCAGACCTCGACCTGATGTCCAAGACCTCAAGCAGTCGCTGTGGCGGGTCTGCAGCGAGTTCTTCTCCCGGCCCCTTACCATCGCCTGGGGGATGAGGCTGTTTGGCCTGAACCCTTTTTCCAAACCTGTCACCATTCACCTGGTGGGAGCAGGCCACAGTGAGACTCTGGCAGCCAGACTGACGGACTATGATGAGCTAAACAACATGTTCCCCGGGCACCAGGGGATCGAGATCGTCATGGTGGGACCAGAGGTGGTGGACGGCCCCGTCGTGAGACCTCCTCTCAGGGCGTTCGGCCCCAAGCACATGGTCTTCATCAGTGCCTACAAGGGTCTCTACCACGAGTTCTGGGAGGAGCTGGTGGAGAAAGAGGAAGCAGCAAAGCCGGACCTGGTGGTTGGATTTCATCCTGGTGAGAACATCTTTCATTTCACCAAAAATAGAGTATCAGTGATTTACCATGAAATACTAAAATTCCAGCCTGGTTTACTGAAGAGAAGATGTCTGTTCATTGACTCTTAGACAATATTTATATCCAAACTGATATTCACATTTTATTTTTGATGTTTATAGGGTTTGATGCCAGTCAGGGTCTGGACCAGGGTTGGCTTCCAACTCTTCTGCTCCTCAGGGATTATGAGATTCCTTCTCTTTTCACTGCTCTCAAGTGAGTGTTACACACATTATCATAAAATGCCTTGAGAGAATCTTTTCCAATTTCTTGCAAATGTTTACTTAGACTCGACTATTTAGGTTTTGGAACACAAAGGTCAAAGGTTAAGGTCCCTGTGGCCTCAAAACACATGATTTGACCTCTTGAACATGATTTCTCAAATCTGCAAATCTGGGAGATTCTCCAAAATTTGGAAAACAAAAATAGTTCAAATGTTAAAAATCAATATTTGAAATTGATTGGATGATTTAATTACCTTTACTCCTCAACCTGCAGATCCTTTAATTGGTTTAATCATGAATACAGACATTGATGCATATTATAATCAATATCTGATGAATACTGCCCCTGTAATCCAGGCTCACTCTCTATCAATCTATTATTATGAAAAGTGAACAAATCCATTACAAATGATTCCCCTGCTTCCTGTCCTCCATCTGCAGCGAGACGGAGATGACCTACTCGCTGCAGATCCTGCTGGAGCTGGAGATGGACATGAGGGGGAGCGGTGCCAACCCGTTCTCCTCGCTGAAACCAGAGGTGGTGGGCTCGAGTCCGGACAAGGCCCCCGTCTACTGCAACTCCCACTACTTCTGTTTCCAGGGTCTGCTGGAGACGGCAGAGTTTGAGGAACCGGAGGAGGCCTGAAGGAGCTGAGTGCTGCACTGATGACTTTCACATGTGGAAAATGAAGCCATTTTTATTTGACTTAATGTTATTATATTGTTAAAACATGTGTAGATTTTAAGTTGGCTCTGACATTTACATTCACTATCTCAGTTAACTGTCATGCAACTGCCAAAGTGGTGAGATTTGAATATGCCCTCTGTGAACTATTGTGGTGTTTGCAGAGGCGATAAAATATTGTAGAAATAGTTAAATTTATGATGATATCTAAGTAGATAGTACAGAAAGGACTCTATTGTTCATTCTCGTTAAACCACCACTTTTCCCTTCTTTATTTTAAACAGGGACATTTTATACAAAAGGTTACATTTATCTATTTATAGCTCTTGAAGGAAGTATATGATTTAGTTTCAATCAACAATACTGTCACCTCCTGACTTGAATACGCAAGACTTTATGTTATTGAATTGAAAAAATAAATAAAGCTAATGTTTCACTCAGATTTGGGCTTTAAATCAATTATAACATTGCAGCAATTAATACATAACACACCGCACACTGCTAAGTAGCCTGAGGAGATAACAAGATCTAATAAGAGCAAATACATTTTCATGTTCGTGCGTCTAGCGAGATTTGAAGGATAAAACCAGGTCGACCAGGTAAAGCACCAGGTTGATGAAGGCTCCGACGATGACAGTGATAAAGTCTCTGTAGGAGCAGTGCTCACAGAAGTAAGGGTTGTTGTTGTAGTGTTTGGAACCAAAGACAATCCAGAGAATGATGGCGAGCATGTACGACAGCACCACCACGATGTTGAACACAAACTCCATCAAGCCGAGGTTAAGCGAGAGGAGGCCTTGCAGGAGCCTGAGCAGATAGAGGATGATGATGAGCACGGTGACCAGGAGGCAAAGGGCAAACACAGCGACGCTGCATATCATCCCAAAAGGAGGATCAGACCAATTCTGATTCACAAAGTAGTCGGAGGCAGCGGTGAGAATGATACAAGCAATGAAGGCCTCTGACATGCGAAGGAGGCCTCTCAGACGGGAGAGGTAGCCGTTTGGACATTTGAGCTTCTGCTTTACAGTGTCGACCAGGAAAACAACGGTGGCGACCAGGGAGAAGATGAGACACAGGATGTTGATGATGCAGGAGAGGCAGAGGTACACGACTGCAAAGATGATTGTGGCAGAGGTGATCATGGCGGCACACAGCATGGTCAGCCCGCAGCTCAGGTCGGCCCAGTCGGGGAGGCAGGTGGCCAGGAGTATGTGCCACGACATTGCCTCCATCACCAACAGCACCAGAGGCACGATGATGCAGAAAATCCAGACAAACTCGCACCAGACTCCCCATGGATGCACCATCCCGCCACGGGACGTGACGATGATGAAGGCCAAAGCGGTGAAGATGATTTCCAAGAGGCGTAAAATGGCCTGGCAGCTTTTAAATGGGCCACACATGATGCTTGGTTTGGTTCTTCCTGATGCTGAAGTCGAATCCTCCAGCTCCTGCACTCAAGGTGACCTGATCCTGTTTCTACTTGTTTCCACTGCTGCTCTTTTCTTACACTGACGTGAGACCTTGTATTATAAGGCAAACATTTCCCTGTATTCAAATTTCTTGGGCAAGGAATTGTTCTGTAGACTATGTAAGTGGTTTTCTGTGGATGTCCGTTGAGGAGAAAAAACTGCTTTTCAGCTATTTTCAAGTTATCTATCTAGTTTTAAAAATGATTTCAAATTCAATATCATCATTTTGTAAGATTTATTCCCTCAGGTGCTAAAATTACAAAAACGATTCCCCACAGTGTCTTTCATCTCTGTTTCTTTTCTATGTATCTGAAATTAAATGAACTCAGGTCTTTATTGAATAGATCGTCAGGAAAATGAACACACTTGCGTTCTGTTTTCAACATTTGTGTTGAAAAACGAGCACCAATTCACCATGTAATTATGTGTTAGTTCACTTGAGTGTGTCTGGGTCATTTTTTCACCTAAATTATATATGAAGCCTATTGACAAATTGTAATTTAACTTTTAGATCCGTGGTTGTTGTGCAGCTACAGTTCTGAAGCTGGAGGCAGTGGGTTCAAGTCCCAACAAGCCTCCCGTCGACTTCAACTCCCACTTCTTCTGTTTCCAGGGTCTGTGGAGACGGTGGAGTCTGGGGAACCAGAGGAGGCCTGAAGGAGCTGAGTGCTGCAGTGTGCTCTCACTCACTCACTCATTATCACGGTTTCCTGGTGTTCGACTGTCAGAGTGGTGAGATTTGAATATTCTGTCTCTGTTGTGCTCGAGATAAAACTTTATAGAAATAGTCAAATGTCAACTGTTATTACATCTACAATTAAAAGAATCCAAATGATAAAATAAAGGGAAGAATGAAGTGTCCACTGCTTTTCTTTTCTGTATTTTAAAGACATCATTTCACCCAGGAATTTTTTTTACATGAGGTTACATTTATCTGTTCATAACTTTAGATTTAAATCAAGTATATGATTTAGTTACAGTATGAAATATCGCATAATGTTGTGAATTTCTGACTTATATTCTATACATATGGATATATGAAATGTACTTTAAACAGATCTCAGGAACGTCAGGTATTTTCATTGAAGTGTAATTTCATTTTCAGACAGAATTGAAACATTCAGGTTACACAAATTAAGCTACACAACATTTACCTGATATTCATTGGTAATAAATAGATTCAATTTAATTTATATACTGAATACACACCAATGCATAATGGAGTAACAAATGGAAAACTGAAAATTACACAAGGAGCCGATGTGTTATTTTACGTTTCATCAAACATTACACTGTACATTAACTGAAAAAAAACAAGACAACACAATACTTAATTATTTATACATATTATAGTATTCATATTAAATATTTGATACAGAGTATAAATAATTGATATGGAAGACTCTGTTTAAAAGACGGCAACTAAATGCTCAAAAATGCTTTTAAAACATTTGTGTTCAGTCTGATTGTCCATTTGAAAAAGTATAATTTCTCAAATTAATAACATCGTGTCATATTACAAGTTTTAAAAAAAAAGATTATAGAATCCACCACAATATTTATCCACGTTTAAAGCCACAGATACCAAGCAAGGTAAAAATGAGGTCCAGTGTAAAGAGAATGAGATTCACATAGGTCATGACTGCAACCACTAACTGAATGGCCCAGATGCAAAAGCTGGGCGGACAGTCGCTGGGACGAGGGTTGTTTCTGAACATAAAAATTGGCCAAACTATAGCAGCGAAGATGTACAGCACAACAGAGATGACCAGGAATATAAACACAAACCTGTCCAAGTTAAAAGGCAAACACATCTTAAGCTTCTTCAGGATGTTGGTGGCTATGATGACTGGGAGGATGGGGAAGGGAATGGCGTACGCAATAATGCAGGCGATCAGAGCCGGCTTGTTACTGTAGCCGGTCAGTGATATGAATATCATGCAGCTCACAAAGGCCTCCATTACTTTGAAGAATCCAGGCAGAATGGCGAGGTAGCTCCCTTTCTTCTTGTCCAGGATTTTGTCCTTTATCACTTCAAGGGTGTAAACGAAACAGCACAAAAAAGCAAACACACTCACTATCCAGCCGTACAGACATTTCAGGCAGGCGTAGAAGTTGGCGTAGGTGATGGCGACAGAAACAGTCATGAGCGTGGAGGACATGGCCATGCCTGTGGTGAAGTCAGGCCAGTCCATGCAAAACATGTTGAGTGCAATATCGAGTTTAAACATTTCGATGATAGTGATGATGAGGGTCATGATGGGGCAGAAGGCCCAAGTGAACATGGCGTAGCTCCAGTAGGTATGGCTGCTCGCTCCTCTGAAGATAGCCAGGATAAAGGTAACCAGAGACAGGATGATCTGAGCCATGTGCAGCCCGCCGCGTCCAGACAACAGCGTACCAGGAGAAAACACTGCTTTGGATAGTGTCTCCTTGATATCATCAATTATCCCCATCTCTCTGGATGAGCTGAAATATTCTCGTAATGTCCCAGAGAGTTTTCAGTTGTTTCACTGCCTCCCAACTCAGCTTTTCTCACACTGAGTTATTGCCTTTCTGGTTTGCATAATAGTAATGAAACAGATAGAGATAAATGTCTGCTGCACCTGATATGAAATAACTGACGTGTTTTATTATGCTTGTTGCACCAGTTATTTATATGGAGACTAGTTACAGACAGGTAATCAACCTGACTATTAGTCACACAATACAAAAAACATTATACATTATATTACACTATTGTATTATATTATATTAAATGATATTCAGTTATTATCATTAGTAGCATCATTATTGTTTTTATGTTAATGTATTTATTTTTATTATTTCATTAGTATGATATTTATCCTCAAGTGGGAAACATGGTGCAAACACTCCTATATATTTAATTATGTAACATAGTCTTAGTAATTTAAAATATTTGATGGGCAAATGTTTGCTGAAGGAAAAAAGGAAGCAAGGAATGAAACTTTTCTTTAACCAATAAATTTTGATGTAGTTATAAATACACGTTTCCAAACGGATATATTTATTTGTGACACAACTTCAAAACAACCAATATATGTGTTCCCATAGACATGTTTGTGTATTGGTGTGTCTTCCTCTGTCAGAGATACATTAAGAAACACACTATTTATTAAATGTTGTTGTATAAAATCTCTGAATTATAATATATATTTAATGTCTATTTAGCAGGTCCATTGTTGCTGCTGGTCCTTGTTTCTGCGGAGGGTAAATAGAGCGCACAAACAGGAAGTTGTTGTCAAGTGTCAGTAGCGCAAACCTTCCCCAACACAGAAACATGTCTGTGTTTTTATCTCAGTAAAACCCGTGGACACTTCAAAATAACTCTGGAGGAAGCCGTCGCATTGTTGGAACTTTATTTGGTTGTGATGATCATTTCTTTTTCTTGGGCCATTTACTTTATATTCGTGTCGAAGCCGTTGTTTGGGAAGAACTAGCTAGCGGCTAACGTTAGCCATGGGTCGATGACACACACTGCAGCAGCAGCAGCAGCAGCAGGAGAAGAGTTGACGGACTGAAGACAGTGTCTCTCTCCTCTGGTGGAGGGGCGGAGAGGCCATGATGGATTTCTCCAAGTTCCTGGACGAGGACTTCGACGTGAAGGACTGGGTGAACGGAGCCTTCACGGTGGTGCAGAGAGACGCGCCGGGGAAAGCGGACACACACGCAGCCACACTGGTCATGAAGCTGCAGTTGTTCATCCAGGAGGTTAACAACGCCATCGAGGGTCAGTCCTCTGTTGTCCCTGCTGCCTGTTATATATCTGCCACTCTGCTTAGACCATGGTTTACTTCTGCCAGTCAGTTTACATGTAGGATGACTAAACACTTGATCCACGAATACAACACAACAGCACCACAAACTGAGGGCGTGTCCTTGTTTAAGACACACCTGTGTCTACAGTCCATCTACAGGGTTAAATATTTGAACAATCAACTTGAGCTTCCAGCTTTATTTGTTCCCAAAGGGCAATTTGTTTTTACTACACCTAAGATGTAAAACATAAAACTCTACATGATCAGATTTCTCAAGTGGAAGTTAAGATGGGCTCATTCAAGGGCAACATTGTTTATATGAATCCAGTTTAATAGGTTCACTTTTAGGTACAATTATAATAATGATCCTAAATTCTATGTTGAACTCTTGTGAAGGTCACTGTATGGATTTTCGGTCGTCCACAGGGCCACTGAACCAGCATGACAATTGTCCACAGTCTAGACAATTGAATAAAAACACTGCATTGGTATTAAGGGGGTGAATAAAAGGTAGGATTTAATTCAGAGCTGTTGTATTAGACTGCATTAGTTTAAGTTGGGTGTACCTAATAAAATGGTAAATATGTGTTAAGTGTGTGATTAGCCTTTAATGTGCAGTCTTTGTTTGAATAATGTAAACTGTATTAGTGGTTGAGATGGACAACACTCTTATTTCTTGTATAGTAAATTTAAACACACCAGAGAATTCCCATCAGGCTAGATAAGTCGCAGTAGTGAGGTTGGTTAGAATTTATTAAATTTTTTCCAGTTTCTTCTTTGTGGCAGCAGCTCTGATGATGTTCTGAAAGTTCACATTTTCTTGTCATGTCCGTCAATAACTGAACGACTGCTGTATGTCTGTTTGTAGAGAGCAGTAATCAGGCCCTCCAGAATATGCCCAGAGTGCTGCGAGATGTGGAGGCTGTGAAGCAGGAGGCTTCTTTCCTCAAGGAGCAAATGGTCCTGGTCAAAGAGGACATCAAGAAGTTTGAGCAGGACACTGTGCAGTCGATGCAGGTGACAAACAAATTTAGCATTTGCATTCTTGAAGTATAGTCACAGCTCACAAGTAAAATATTGCAGGTAAAATCAAGATGCATAAGTACATTCACTGTTAAATTATTAAAGTCATGAACTTGATAAATCATTTCTGTGATAATAATCAGTGTAATATTCTAAACCTGGCAGCAGTTTAAAATGCACAGTGTGAAGTGATAATTCAGGCTGACCTGTATTTTTGTGGATCCTATTTTCCAGGTTCTGGTGGAGATAGATCAGGTGAAGAGCCGCATGCAGCTGGCAGCTGAGGCTCTGCAGGAGGCAGACAAATGGACCACACTGAGTGCAGACATTGAGGAGACCTTCAAAACACAGGTATAAACTGTCACAGTTTGTGTAGAGGTTGTTGTACCTTTTTATATTCTTAAAACTGTACATATAACAATTCATTTTACTGAGAAAAGGATGAGTCCAAACCCTCTAAAGTGTAAACACAACTCAATCCTGTAAATTGGCCCCTCTTGGATCCGAGACTTATCTCAGTGTGTCATGTGAAGTCATTCTATTTAGTCATCAAAATATTTTGTTTTATATATGCATCAAATTATTTACAGTAACACACACGGATTTTATATTGTGGACTTTTTGTTCTTCCAGGACCTTGCAGTGATCTCCTCCAAACTGACCAGCATGCAGAACAGCCTGGCCATGCTGGTGGACACGCCAGACTTCTCTGAAAAGTGTGTCCACCTGGAGGCACTGAAAAACAGGCTGGAGGCTCTGGCCAGCCCACAAATAGTAGCAACGTTTAACTCCATGTCTATAGGTAACAACCTGTGAGAAGTGTTTTTGTCTATTTGTTCCTAATTCCATATCTGTGTACACAACATATTCTCCTGTCTTCTCTCTGCAGACCAGGCCAAGCTGTTTGTTAAAGTCTTTACAGAGATAGACAGAATGCCACAGCTTCTTGCCTACTACTATAAATGTCATAAGGTAGGTGTGACAGGCCCCTCCCTCACATGAATATAAGCAATTACAAAATCCTAGTCTCATCTTTTTTTCTTTGTATGGTGGAGACATGCACGTATTTGTGAATGAATGTTTGTTTTGGCCCCTCCAGGGTCAGTTGGTGAGTATTTGGCAGGATCTCTCTCAGAGCGAGCTCACACTGAACCAGCAGCTGTCTGAATTCTATGACACCTTGCTCTCCACGTGGCACACTCAGCTCCAGTGGAGCAGCCAGGTCAGAAACACTAACACAGTTTGTGAATTGCCAGACAGCAAACAGCCAGAGAAAGTGCAATACAAACACATTACATGTGACTGTCAACAGGTGTTCAAGAACCCATATGAGGTGGTGACAGTGCTGCTGATCCAGACTCTAGGGGCCATGGTGCCATCCATCGCTGTTTGCCTGAGCACGGCCATGGAGCGGGCAGCCCAAGAGCAGTGTCTCCACACCCTGCTGGAACTCCATCAAACTACGTCCACGTTCGGGCACAGCCTGGAGGCCGCCATGCTTCCACACCTGGGTGCGTGCGCTGTCAAGAAATGATGAAGGCGAAACAAAAACACTGAATTAATCATATTTGTGGAGAGTCTGGTCCTTATGTTGTGTTTTGTATTTCGTCTCCAGGAGAGAATAACCTGCTGAAGGTGAACGAGCTGGTCTGTGTGCTGTACGACCCCTATAAATCTTATCAACTGCAGTATGGAGATCTGGAGGAAGCGCACCTCCTCATCCAGATCAGTGCAGTACCTTTGGTAACTCACCCCACAAATATACCCACATAATAGATAGTAGAATTGTCATTTTTGTCTAATTTCTTCTCTGAGTTTGTGTCACCTCTTGTTTCACACACTGCACATTCCTTCCTCTCTTTAGGAGCACGGCGAGGTCATTGATTGTGTAGAAGAGTTGAGCCACTCTGTCGGCAAGTTGTTCGGCCTGGCCAGTGCTGCTGTGGACCGGTGTGTCAAACTGACGGACGGCCTGGCCGTGTGTGGCCTCCTCAAAGCTCTCAAAGCCCTTTTTATCAAGTAAAGAGTCTTAACATTTTAACTGTTATAAATACTTTTTTCGATTTACATGTATTTTGCCAGTTTTAACTTGTTGCTTTTTTCGCAGGTATGTGTCTGACTTCTCCACAACGCTGCAGTCCATCAGGAAGAAGTGTAAACTGGAGGATACGCCAAGTTCATCTGGCTTCCAGGAGGATTGGACAGCCTTCCAGAACTCAGTCAGGTCAGAGCTCTCTTTCAGTTCGAGATCTGAAGAGCAAATAATTTAAATTTTAATATAGACGTTTTCCTCATTGGAAAGACTTATCTCTTTTCAAAACTGCCCTTTTGTTAGGTTTTTTGTAACTAAGAGATGTTGCTAATGCTTTCGGATTTTTGTATTTTGCAGGATTATTGCCACTTGTGGGGAGTTACTTCGACAATGTGGAGCGTTTGAGCAGCAGCTGTCAAACAAGTATTGGAAAACTTTATTAACTGTTGTGTGCTCGCTGTAATTGAAGCACTTTAATTTAAAATAATTTCATTAATTTTTTTATTAATTCCTCCTATAGGATCCTGGTTTCGGCAGGTAAGTACTTGTCCGAGTCTTACAGCCCCCGCAGTCTGGCAGGCATCCAGGAGGTCAGCTCCACAGAGAGAAGGAGCACCACCAAGAACCCCTGGCAGGAGTATAACTACCTTCAGAGGGGCAATCTGGCTGAATATAACAGCCTGATGGAAGTCCTCTACTCATTAAAGGTATGAAGTCTATCACTTTCTTCTTATCAGAGCTCCCTGCTGCTGTTTTTTAATGCATACTATCCCACAGGAGAAGGGCACAGGTAACTCCAGCCTGTTAGCCAAGTCCAGAGCCGCTCTGACCAGACTCAACCAGCAGGCCAATCAGCTGGCGTTCGACTCTGTCTTCCTGCAGATTAAACACCAGCTCTGCCTCGTCTCCAAGATGGAGGTGATTAAGTGTCAGGTTTCTAGATTATTTGATTTCAACTGCTGACAGAATCAAGTCGAGTGCACGCCCGAGAGCTTTCGAATTGTGAGTGCTCTGTTTGCATCTATTTTAGTCTCACCTCAAGCATTTTGATTTGTGCTACTTATTTTTGGTCAGAATAAAGAAGCTGGCTTCGGAGAGAGCTACACGGACGATCTACCCACTTACAGCCTGTCACCGCAAGAATACATAACAAATGTCAGTGAGGTTTTCAAGTAAATACAATCTTAAATCATACAATCTGGACAGACGTAGTAAACTATTTTCTATTTTATGTTCCTCCCCCACCAGATAGGACAGTACTTGATGTCTCTGCCACTGCACTTGGAGCCGTTTGTGACACAGGAGGACCCGGCGTTAGAAATGGCTTTACATGCTGGGAAGCTGCCGTTCCCTCCAGAACAAGGTTACACACTAACAGTTCATTCCATCTCTCTATCTTATACAGGTTTCTTAATCATCTCTTTTCCTCCTTCCATCACGTTTTGTAAATCTGTTCAGTAGTTTTTGTGTGAACCTGCCAACACACAAACAAACAAAAAAATAAATAACCTAACCCTTTAAATATCACCTTCCCTTTGTTTCAGGTGACGATCTTCCCGAGCTGGACAACACAGCAGACTACTGGCTTGGCTCCATTGCCCGGGCAACAATGCAGACTTACTGTGACGCCATCCTGCTCATCCCACAACTCGGTACCCATTCCACGAAACAGCTGGCCACAGATATAGGTACAGTTACCATAACGCTGGAAGGACACATGGAGCCAACATTGCTTTTTGATAACTAAACCGTGATATGTAATCACATTGTTATTAATAGTCACAGGGGATATGGCATTGAAATTGTGGCTCTCGGTTATTATTCAATCATTTGGGTTGATGATCCCTTCTCCTGCTCCACAGACTATCTGAGCAACGTGATGGACGCTCTGGGCCTGCAGCCCTCCCGCTCCCTGCAGCACATCGTCACCCTGCTGAGGGCCAAACCAGAAATCTACAGACAAACCGCCAAGCTGCTGCCTCGGCGACTGGCCTCCACCATCGCCGCCCTGCGGTGCATCGACTACTAACAGTAAGGGAGAGGGGCAAGGACTCTGTAGGTTAAGTGTAGGTGCAGTGTCAGAGAGGCGCTGGGGGACTTGTGGATGGTCGACCTGTTCCTGGGTTGTTTGGGGCTGCAGCATTTTAGGTTTCTTGTCCTGTTAAGAGATTAAAATCATGGTGGTTTCGACTTGTTTTTTCAAAATACTGATTCATTTTGAACTAAGTGTGACTAAGTGACTTCTCACTGGTGAAAATGCCTTTAACTCAAGTCAAAGTGAAAGTGTCTTGACTATAAGTCGTTAGTTTCTGCATTTACTTGTTGCTGAAGCGTCTGAGTAAGTAACAAAATGTTCATCAGGGAATGTGTGAGAGCATTTGAAATCTATATGATCCATATATTTGTTTTTCAGTACTTGTCATACTAAGATAATTCATCGATTATAATCAATTGTATTAAGGTAATGATTTTGATATGAGCTGCATTGTTTTCTGTTTAAGGACCTTCACATTCAGCAGTTGACCTAAAAAGTAAAGATGGAGGGCATCTGTCTCTTTTGTTATAGCCAGGGCTGGATAAATAATATGAATGAATTGATGATGTAACAGATCTAGTTTAATAAATGTTTGATCTTTTTCATAGTTGATCAAATACAGATTGTGTCCAATGTCTGTTGAATGTATTTTTTACTCTGACGCCATGAGAATCGTCACATCTGCCATAAATATGAGACTTCACAGCAACACACAGGTAAGACTCCAGACTGAGAGGAATTCACTATATGGTTTTTGCACAAGGGGTAAATCTCATTTTGAGATAGTGGTGATAATGTTTATTTAATTGACTGGTGGAACGTTGATCATCTTTATTGTTACAGTTATCTCAGGCAACATTCAAAACACAACCCAAACCTGAGCCTACACACACAAACTGACTCATACATACACAAATACACCTGGGAAATGAGACCATAGCAAATAAAACAAAAGTTAATTTTACTGTAAACTGAATATCTTTGTGGTTTGTCTATCAAATTAAAAATCTCAAATGACACTCAGTAGAGCTGAACCAAATTACACACACTCAAACATTTCACTCCCCTAAATGTGTAAAAAATGTCTTTATAGATTCATAAAGAATTTTAGATGTTCAAGAAAAAATTTAATCCTGGATCTGCCCCAAATTGTTACAGGTTCTTGCCTGAGTTTTGCGGAAATGTATTTAAACTTATTTTTGTGTTATCTTGCTGACAAACGAACAAATACACTTAATACAAACAAGTGATGAAAACTACCTCCTGGACGCAGCTATCAAACATCACCAGACTAAATAATAAAAATAATTAGTAATACACAAAACAACATGGAAACACCCAAAACAATCACATGATCCAATGGTTTGGATTTGTTTGACGGGTGCTATATAAATAAAGTTTATCATTCGTATCCCTCCATTTATCCCTCCATCATCCTTCCATTCATCCTTCCATCTATCCAAACCTGCCTCCATCCATCCATCAATCCATCCATTCATCCATCTGACCGTCAAACATGCCTCCATCATCTCTACCACTTATGAGGGTCACGGTTGGAGCTTTATTATTATTATTATGATTATGATTATTATTATATCATCTAATATTAAGACTTGGACTAATTATACTGGTTAATCCCTTCCTGCACTGACTTGTAGTGTGGAGCATTATTAAATTGAGTTTTTAATTTTCTATAAACAATGCTCTTATTTGTTGCCATGATAATCATCAGTTCGTGAGTGTCCGTGCTGTCCAGAGACTCGGAGCATCACCCAGCAGCAGCATCATCACTCGCCGCTGTACCTGCGCTCCTCTCCTCCGACATGGACCAGTGTCGGGGCCCTGACGTCAGCCGTCACCGCCCTGCCTGCAGTGTCGGTGCCTACAGATGATGCTGATGGAGACAGGGGGAAGCGGCCTCGCCGTGAATCCCGTCCGGACGGCGGAGGCGCTGGATTATTTGAGGCGCAGCTGAAGACTTTGGGGGGGAAAAATAGCAACAACAGCTTCCAAGAGTTTCTGATGGGGACAGAGAAACGCGCACATCTGGCCCACGAACAGATACTCCACGGCGGAGAGGCGCGGGGGAGCGGCGGGCTGTGTCGCTCAGGTCGCGGGGTTGCTCGGTTTGGCAGAGCGATGGTTTAGGGGGAAGACATCCACAATACTCGGGGTGAACATCAGCATCGCCGTGGATTTGATCGCTAGAGACGGGTGAAGGAATACCTTTAAAAGGGTGGAGCTGCGGTTTGTTTAATAAATGATGAGGGATCCCGATCATCGCTTCTTCCACTTGTGAGAGGTTGATGTCCGTGTCTCTGATCGTCAGCATCCTTGTTGTGTTGTGATATTTCACCGGACCCGCTGTTAGGGAGGATGGCTTCAGGCGGGCGCGGGACCACCGCAGGCATTTACGCACGGCGCCCTGACTCTCCATGTTTATGCAATCCGACGCAGTGTTGCCAGTGGGCTGATCTGATCCTGCTCTGCCGTCTCCATATGATGTGATATGATCCCCACAAGCGCCAGGCCCCAATGTTTCTGTGAAATATGCCCAGGCCTCGTGTTCCAGTGAGGGTGCTTTCATCGCACAGGCTCCGGGCCATGCGCTAAACGGAGAGACGAAGGGGGGGATCTCTGGGTTTTTACGCTGTTATAATTGGGGGGGACACCATCTGAGGGACCATGTCGAAAGTTGTGACCAACAAGGAGAAGAAATCCTTCAGCAAGAAGCTGTTCCGGAGGAGCTCGGTGCGCTCCGTGGGCAGCTTCATGAACAGAGTCCTCCGGACCCTGTCCACTCTGTCCCACTTCAGCACCGACGAGCAGGCCGCCGAGGACGAGAAGGACGACGCGACCCTCCTCCCGAGCACCACCGGGGGGTCGCTGCCGTCCGACGACAGCGACTGCGGGGGATTCCCCTTCGGTGACAAGGTGCCAGGGGTGGCCGGGCTCAAGAACCACGGCAACACCTGCTTCATGAACGCGATCCTCCAGTGCCTGAGCAACACGGAGCTGTTCGCAGAGTACCTGGCGCTGGAGCAGTTCAAAGGTGCGGAGACGAGCAGCAACAGCGGCGAGAAGGCCAAGTCCAACGGGGTGCTGGTGCTGAGGAGGGCCGGCCAGCAGCAGCACGAGTCCGGGGAGGTGACGGAGCAGCTGTCCGGCTTGGTGCGGGCGCTCTGGACCTTTGAGTACACACCTCAGCACAGCAGAGACTTCAAGGTAGGACGTGTGTAGAGGTGTCCCTGTCAAAACAGTGGCGGATCTAGGATGTTTCTGAATCAGGGGCCACAATTTGGACAGTAGCACTGTTCCCTCACAGCAAGAAGGTTCCCGGTTCGAATCCAAGTCCAGCCAGTGTCTCCCCCCCCGTGTGTGGTTTGCATGTTCTCACCGTGTTTGTGTTGGTTTTCGCCTTCTTCCTGTCACTGTCCAACAACATGCATGCTAGGGTTAGGTTGATGGAGACTCTAATTGTGAGTCTGAGACAAGCTGGTACAGGGTGTCCCCTGCCTCTCACCTGATGTCAGCTCCCCCTGCAACCCTCAAATATGTATATATATATATATATATGTATATATATATGTATATATATAGGATGGATGGCCCAGACACGAACTCCAGGGAATGTCCGCAGAGTGGGGTCAGGACTTTCTCCGGAGTTCGACCAGTGCACCGGGAGATCCTCTGCTCAGCGGCACCGTTCTTCATCCTAAGATATATTTCTAAACATTTTTTTGTTTTTTTAAGTTTTGCATCATTTTTGAGAATGTTCACTGGTTCATGGTGAATCCTCTGGAGAATCTCCTGCTGTCTGGCATGGTCTGGAGAATGTCCTGACATTATCTGGGGTTCGGTGCATATCTGAAAGCGGTTTAAGTGCACATTTAAGTCTTTTAAGATTTGTTTATTAAAACAAAAAGATATTATACTGACAGGATGGGGGCAGCTCAGGGGGCGATCAGATTTCATCTGGTGCCCCCCTGCCCCCACCCCTGGATCTGCCCCTGTCCCAAAAACTACAAAGTATATGCAGTACAGGATACTAGGATCAGTGACTGATAGACTCAAATTGCACAGTGCTTTATTCTCATTTACTGATGTTTGTCACCATCAGGATCCAGATATCCAGGTCTGTTTAATCCATCGTCTCAGTTGAAAGTCAATGTAAAAACAAGTGAGGCGATCAAAGTGAGCTATTTAGCACAAATATTCTAGAAAAGTATTTTCTTCTGACGGCACTGACAAAACCAAATGCAGATAAATATGAACACTAGAGTCTGTTTATCATCACATTCTTCCTTCATTTGTCAGAATAATTGCAGACGGGGTAAAATGAAGTGAACCTTGACTGACTGGTTCAACAACAAGCTTCTATTTACTTTTATTGTTTTACATTAAATGTAAAAAACCCAGAGAAGGTTTCTGTCTTCTGTCAGTTTCTATGGAGTCACAGCTCATCTCCAGCTTATGTAATGTCTGTGCTTATCATCGAGCTTTTTATAGGAGAATAAATCCAAGAGGAAAAGACAAAGTCAGTTTTTTTAGACCAAACACTCATTTATTTAAAATTCTCTTTGAGCTCTTGTTATTTACTGTTTGAAATGTCTGTCAGACGCTCGTCAGCTTCTGCTCCAGCCTCATTTCACCTCTTCAGCCTGAAAACTTTGCTCGTCACGATCACAAAAGGGAACTTTTTTGTGCCTGTGTCTTTTTCTGTCTCCTTCAGAAGCTCAAAATACATAATGGAGAGCAACTAAATTGGACAGGGCCGCATTTCTGGTTCTTCACTGTGTTTCTATTTTGGTCCATTTTTTTTTTCCTGCCTTGGTTTCCAGCCAGAGAACAAACTGTCTGATTGGATATAGATTGTTCTGTTCACAGTGAGGGGCCTTGAATATGTTAAACTGAGTGGGGAAACAAAGTGCACATGCAGTCTATTTCAGGTACACTATTCAATTTAGAAACGAGGAATTGTAAGTAGTTTGTGAGAGTGTGCAGCTGAATATTTACTGACGTTATCTCTATTTCACAAACAACACAGATGGACTGAAAATGATTACTTTTTCAATCTGCAAAGATTAGATGTGTCTTTCCATCGTCTACATCAAAACCATAAATGCAGCTATTTGAACGTTTTCCTGCTTTTCCTGTTCTCTGCACATCACAGCTCCGCATTTGTATTTGACCATTTTGTGCCTCTTGCCTCTGACCACAATCTGAGCTTAAACTGAGAGCACTCAAAGATCATTAGGAAGATGTTTCCGGAATAAGAATAACAACAACAACACTGTGTCTCAAAATCCATTTTCTCTCCCAAGAAATTGCTCCGAGCGACAAGCTGTAGTGCAACATCCAATCTGCCTCAGAACAGGATCCACACAAACTCTTGCAGATTTGTGATCCTTAATTTTGTGTTGAAAAAATGATGGTAAAACAAATCCAACAACACAACTGAACTCCATGTTTGATAAAAACAACTCTGTAGATTGTTTTATTGGAGGCTTAATAAGGGATAAACTTATTGCGTTTATGGAAATGACCTTTTATCCCACTTTAAGAATGGTGGAGTGGATTAAAATCACCATGAATGTGTTCATTCTAAATCTTACACACTGGAATTTTAAAGTTGACCTTAATTTAATTTCCCATCTTCATATTTTTACATCAGTGTAGATTTTCTTATTTATTTACTGTCAATTGCCTGGTTATCCCTCCCTAGACACAATAATCCCATGAAAACACATTGAATTATAAACTATATGTAAGAGAACACACATGTCTTCTTATTTATTGTTTACTATACTGTTGAGAAAAATGCTACACTGCAAACTCTGCAAAAATCAATTTTAAATATAGAGGATATATTGATATCTGATACCATTCTTTCTATAAACACTTCATCTCTATTTTGTCACTTCATCTGAGTTAATGCCATAAATATTGTCTCATGAATCTGGAACATCATCTTTTGTTGTCACTTACACTGATTGTATTAATTATACATCTTTTATTCATCAGAAACATTGAGAGGATAATTTACCGCATGACAATTCTTAGGATGGCTTATTTTTCTCAAGGTGTTTCAAAGAGATGCAGACATTTAAAGCAATACATTATTAATATCTGTTGTGTTTTGCCTTAAAATCGTCCCTCAAAACACAGCGTCTGTGGTCGAGCCTCAGACGGAAGGCTCGGTCTTTGTTTGCATCACAGTTTGTCAGAAATGCTGAGGCTGCTTCTGTGATGCCTTGAGAGGAGAAAGAATGACCCCTGGGAGAAGCTGGGAAGACACACACAGAACTTGTATGTTTGACCTTGTGTGACATTTGATATCCGGTGACTTTTTTATCTGCCAGCCAGGGAGGCTCTGCGGAGCACACACTGTTTTTACTGTTGCTAATTGTCAGTGAGGCGGTTAATCTGTCGATTTCCAGCCCTGCGCCCTGGTTTTAAAAAGCTTCTGGTTTTAAAACAGCCCCACCACCTCCGCTGACCTTTAGGATTGTGCTGATCGTCAACCCGGTCAAACGCACTGAATATTTTATGATCAGGAGATGTCGAGAAAAGACTCGGCTGCACTGTGTGAAATCGTCTCTGTGTTTCGGAGCGATGTGCTGAATTTTCTTTTTTATTGTGCTGCAGAATGTTGTGTCCAAGAGTGCCCTTCAGTTCAGAGGTAACTCCCAGCACGACGCCCAGGAATTCCTCCTTTGGTTGCTGGACAGAGTTCACGAAGACCTCAACCATATAGTCCACCCTGACATCAGACCTCCCCGGAAGGTAAACAGCAACACAGGGCAGTGTAGGGTGCTGTATACTGAGTTATAGAAAAATAAAATCTAAATTTGTGGATGTTTCTTTCATGTTTTGACCAGATGTTTCCCCTTTTGGGTTTTCCACTGACACGTTACAATATTCTGAATGCTGCTATAATTTAACATGCGTTATATTCTGTGTGTTTGCCAACTAACCGTTCTGTTATATGTGCAGCCTCCAGTAGAAGAAGAAAATCCCCCTGAAGGATCTCCACTACCAGCACCTGGCTCTTTTGTACAGGAGTTGTTTCAGGCACAATACAGGTGACAGAATTCATATATTTTGTCCAAATTTAAATACACATTTATTGCCAGTGCCCATAAATGTTTATTATGTGAAAATCATCATTTATATGGAATAATCTTCCAAGACAAGAGGATTAACACTTAAAACACACCCTAATGAAATATTCTAAACCTTCCAAAGGTTCACTTACTAGTTTTTGTCCTTCTTCCGATCATTTCCTATGGTCTTCTTCAAACAACATGAAATTTTATCCACTGCATGTACTAATGTATAGCACCAATAACATTACTCCATTATTTATTTATTTCCACTAATTGAAAATCGTCCGACATCTTGGTTCATGTGCTACTTGTTGCTAGTTTTAAAAAGGTTGATATCACTTTGATGTAAATAGATTTATATACATTCTGAGTCTATTCAATTAATTAACAATCAAAAATCAATTTGATACATATCAAATTTTATTCATTCAACTTTGTTATTACACAATTCTTTATTTCTTTAATATAAATAATTTAGTATTATGTTTATCATAATTTATGCATACCAATGTAATTTTCTGTAGGTACATATATATCATAGGTGTCAATGTTCTCTAACTTTCAGCAAGACAATGATGAAGTGCACTTTCCAATTAATCCTTAAAACTGGATCAGTAACAGTTCTCTAACATGTCTCTGTGCAGGTCGTCCCTGACCTGCCCTCACTGCCAGAAACAGAGCAACACCTTCGATCCTTTCCTCTGCATCTCACTGCCAATCCCGGTACCTCACACACGGTAAGCTGGCTCTGCATCCACTTTATATGAGTAGGAAAATAACTATCAGACGAAAAACAAACATCCAAATATGCGATGAGACGTGATGTCTTCTGGACGTGGCGTTAAAAAAAAGTGTCATCCCTGGATAAGAAAAACACCAGGAGAGATCTGACAGGAGAGAGCTAAAATTAGAACATGCCATGTACCTGTGAAACATCAGTCCTGCCGTGGTTATGAAACAGCCAATTTATTCCAATATGTCTGTGTTGCAGGCCGCTGTATGTGACAGTGGTGTACCAAGGAAAGTGCTCCCACTGTATGAGAGTTGGGGTGGCGGTGCCGCTCTCCGGTACCGTGTCCAGGCTGAGACAAGCTGTGGCCCAAGAGACCAAAATCCCAGCGCAACAGGTGCTGCCATCTTCTGAAAACTTTTCTGCTGAAGACTGTTAATGCATTAAAATTAAGAGGATTAAAGTTCTTTGAGGAAATTGGATGGAGGAGTTTGCCATGAGAGAATTAGGAGGTTTGATTTGTTTTTTAATGGGAGACCAGAATTATCTCAGATGATTTTAGCACCATTTTATAATTAACACTTTGTAAACATATACATCTCTTATGTTTCAGAATCTGAAGTCTCTTCATTAAAAAACTTTAACTGGCACTAATTCTTATCACATGAATGAACTCTTATGTCTCTGTTCAGATCGCCCTCACTGAAATGTACTTTGACGGCTTTCATCGCTCCTTCTGTGATGATGACGACGACCTCGAGATCATTCAGGAGAGCGACTCCATCTTTGCCTTTGAGACACCTGAGCTGTTCAGACCGGAGCAGATCCGTTCCAAGCGAAGCGGTACAACATCCTGTTTACCCCCCCCCATCCCCAATTACAAATCAGTTTAGCTCTCTGTCTCATTACGGCAGTGGGAGTGGAGATTAGATTAGAAATGGACAATGTTGGAGAAACGCCCGGTTTAGGAAGCTGCCACACACACACACTGACCTGCAATTCACCAAGCAGTGTGTGGTTTTCACATTTTATTTCAATTTTGGAAAGTTTGTAACTTTAACTTCCATGTTTTCTTTTTAGGGAGTCCACATGCAAATCTCAACCAGAACAACTTGAAGTACAGCACAGACAACAACAGGATTCCCACGCAAATACAAGAGCCGACGACACCACCGGCGAGTCCTAATAAGAACAGCGGGCAGGCTGAGAAGATCGTCCTGCTGGTGTGTAATAGAGCCTGCGCTGGACAGCAAGGACGCAGGTAGGATCTAATATCAGGGGCTGATACTGACCTAATTCACTGATGGGATATTGCGCTGACATCACTGGAGTCTACTGGCAGATGTTTTTATGAATCATAAACATGTTATAATGCAATTATAACCCCATTGCCAAAATGCTGGAGTACAAATTAAATAGATAGTAATCAAAACATCTAGTAGCCCCCCTTATTACTTTTGGACTCATGTATAGAAATCTAGAACAAACAAATACACACAAACAAACACACAAAGTAATAAATTGCTTTGGAACACAAATTTATATTGAATGGATTTTATATAATAATAATAATAATAGGGATTTAATTTATCGTATTCAGAACTGAATACAAGTGGATTGGTACGTTGCAACTTTATCGAGCAACAGTTATCATTCATATAATCAACTATTGTAATCAACTATCCCAAAGAAATCTTTAAAACCTCACTGCTTTTGTTCCCTGCAGGTTTGGTAATCCATTCATTCTGTATTTGGAGCGAACAGTGACCTGGGACGTTCTTCAGAAAGAGATCCTGGAGAAGATGCGTCACATTTTGCGCCCTGGAGCCTTTGTGCAGGTTCAAACTCCCAACCTGCTTTTCACACCCTTTGCTTATTTTATTTTTTTGCAATCTTGTTAATGTGTCATATTTGATAATGTCTCATTCCTGGTGGTCTTCAGGTAGGGCCCTTCACGTTACGTGTGGTGGGCGTGGTTGGAATCACGTATCTCTTGCCTCAGGAGGAACAGCCACTCTGCCATCCCTCTGTGGAGAGGTAATACCACTTTTTACCACAAGGAGGAAGTGTTGCCTCAGTTGAGAAGTTGTTACATAAATCCTGCAGCATGTTCAAACCATTTAAAATGGATTTAATAGTAACAGTATGTAGTTCTTCTCTTATTCTATTAATAAACATGTATATGAATGTAATGTCATTCTCTTAATGTAATATTATTTAATAGGGCGTACAAGTCCAGCGGTCCTGGAGGACCACCTCATGTCAAAATTGTGGTTGAATGGGACAAGGAGACAAAAGACTAGTAAGTGAGATCTTGCAAAACACACACACTTCATTAAGCTCCTGGCAGATGTTTGATGCGATGTGTTGTTTCTCCCTCTGTGACTTGTGCCGCACTGTATCCGCAGTCTCTTCAAAAGAACTGAGGACGAATACATCCCAGATGCTGAAAGTGTGCGTCAGGTGAAAGAGCAGCACCTGCAGCCTCAGACGTGCTCGCTCGCCCAGTGCTTTCAACTCTACACCAAAGAGGAACAGGTAGCCTGAGACATGGTGCCATGGGGTTTTTAGTACAGACAGGGAATAAATATGTGGCTTGATTAAGGTTTCACTGAAAGATTCAGCTCAGAGTTTTTTGAAATCCTGGTCAAAGGGAGTGAGGGGGAAAGGGAAGGGTAAATTGTGGATGACTCTATATCTTGTGAAAAGAGTCGGGTTCACAGAAGATCTAGTGTTGTAGAAGATCAATGTAGGAGCGCCTGCTCTACCAAGTGTGCAGAGATTGTATGTATTCCAAAAATTAAAAATAAAAACATCGATTCTTAGCTTTCACGACACAAAAACAAGACGAGAACATGAGGTAGACTTTAAAATAGTTACTCTTTAAAAACTGATGTTTTCCACATTTCAGCTGGCTCCGGATGACGCATGGCGTTGTCCACACTGTAAGCAGCTTCAGCAGGGCAGCATCAAGCTCAGTCTTTGGACCCTGCCAGACATCCTCATACTCCACCTGAAGCGCTTCAGACAGGTAGTGAGAGACAATGGATTTTACATTACTGTGAACGAGGTGCTCGTAAAAAAACTTGCTCTCAAGTTTAAGGCTGTGAACGTTGTTGTGTCCCTCAGGATGCAGATCGACGGATGAAGATGCAGAACATGGTGAAGTTCCCGCTCACCGGTATGGACATGGCACCGCACATGGTAAAGAGGAGCCAGAGCAGCTGGAGTCTCCCCTCCCACTGGTCACCATGGAGACGGCCCTATGGGATGGGCCGTGATCCGGAGGACTACCTCTATGACCTGTACGCGGTGTGTAACCACCACGGAACCATGCAGGGAGGTCATTACACAGGTAACAGAGCACCATGACACAACCGATGACTGATGCCCCTATTAGGTTATTGTATGAAAGATATAACATGCAACAATTCTTCATTAAGAAGACTAGAACTAATTTATATATTTTTTTGACATCTGTACTTACCCAACGAAATTCCCAATTTTATTCAAAGTAACAGGACGTTTCATCTCAGTCACCTTTTAAATACCACAAATCCACTTTACCTGTTATGCCCATCTCTGCTATAACGCCCAGGTCAAATGATGAATGATATAGGACAAGCACAGTTAGCCAGTTAGCTAGTTAGCCAATAGGCTCACTGGGCTGGTTTTCCTTCCTCTGTTTATCTTGGTCATTTGTAATAGATCACAAATTTTCATCACTGTTTACTGCGCGTTCCGTCACCGAAACTCTTCTATAAAAGCACAAATGCACAGGGGAACCAAGTATCCTGAGAAGATTATGGAACAAGAAATGTTGGTGAAGACATCAACTCCCATGATCCCACGCTGCTTCATCATCAAACTCTGTCTTTTTTTGTTGTTTTTATTGAGAACCCTAGAAGCCCAAGTTACATATTGTGCATTTAACTGTTTATTTTTATTTTTATTTTTATAAAAGCTTCACAAGTTATTTATAATATCTTATTTCATTGTGTCTCGCAGCCCACTGTAAGAACTCCATTGACGGACAGTGGTACTGCTTTGATGATAGTGATGTTCATCCTATGTCTGAAGATGAGGTCTGCAAGCAGACTGCTTACATCTTGTTTTATCAAAGACGAGCCACTATTCCATCCTGGTCTGCCAACAGCTCTGTGGGAGGTAACTTTTATTATGAGCCTCTATACTGCCCCTCATACTGTATATGTTTGGGTTTTGTCAATGGGATGAATTGCAGATGCTCAGCCACTCTCTGTTTGGACCTTTAGGTTCCACCAGTTCTTCTTTGTGTGAGCACTGGATTAGTCGGCTGATGGGCAGCCGTCCACCCAGCCAAGCCTCATCTGGTTCCTCCAGACGTACCTCATTGGCCTCCCTCTCTGAGTCCGCTGAGTTTGCTGCTGAACGGAGCGAGGACGATGGTAAGGGAGACTTATGCCATTGAGGATTTCGTCAATGTTTTCTTGGAGAGTCTAACATTTCTGTGTGTCCCTCTACAAAGCAGGCCTATCGAGCCGCCCAGCGGTGAGAGGCATGCAAAGACAAACCTTCTCCTCGAGATCTTCCATCGCCAGTCCTTTGGTTCTCAGTGAAAATGGCACTAAACCATCCTGGTCCCACTCTGCTAAGCTCCAGCTCCGTTCCAACTCTCCCTCTCGCTTCTCCCTGGAATCCCACTCTTCCTCCCCGACTCTGGAGAGAATAGGAGAGGTTGTTGATAACCAGCTGGCAACCCCCTGCTTCACTGGGTCGCCTAAGCCAGACAGACTGTCAGGGTGTAAGTTGGCCCTTGCAGCTTCGGATAGTAATCCTGGCAGTAAAAGGCTGATAGAGCAGCTTCACTCCAAGGCTGTGGCGCAAGCGGAGCAAAGGAGCTCTATCCAGGCTGGGGATAACAACAACATAGTCACTCCTGCTGAGCAAGTTAGTCCTCGACATGGGGCAGCTGCTAAAGAGCAGAAACAAAGAAACGGGGCTGCAGATAGCACAGGTGTTAAAAGGACCTCAGCAAAGACTGGGTTAGAGAGTGAAAGGAGTCCCAAGAAGCGTCCTACCACCTCCTCAACTTCGTCCAGCTCCCTCTCTCCTGCGTCCCCAGCCATTGACAAGTCACCGTCTCGAACACAGACAAAGGGTGCAGCATCAGCATCAAACCCCAAGGACAAGTGTGATGGACCTCCTAAAACTAGCAAGGCTGGTTCCTCGAAAACAGCAACGCCTTCCAAAAAAGGGTCCCCTCAAACCTCAGAGGCATTACATCCAGACTCTGCCCAACAGAGGAAGAGTGGTCCTCCAGGAGCACAAATCTCACATCCTCAGAGAAAGGCATCACCTAGAGGTGGAGGCGAGAAAAGCTCAGCCTCTGGAAGGACTAGAGCAGCAGAAAGGAGTGCAAGCCGTGATTCCTCAGGGGCCAATGTGGTTTCGGAGAGAAAGGTCAGCCAGGGAGGACCTCCCTCCAGGTCAAGTGCTGCTAGTAGAGCAGAGGGCAGGCCGGGTCGGGCTTCGGAGAACAGGGAGGTGGCCCGTAACTCTAGCAGTAGCTCCTCCGTGACTAGTCTCCGATCTTCGAGCGTTGGCGTCTCGTCTTCGAGTGCAGCACCACCATCAAGGGGACCTCGTAGGAACAGTAAGACGGAGGACAAAGGTTTGTCCTTCTTCAAAACTGCTCTGAGGCCCAAAGAGACCCGTAAGTCAGCTGATGGTGGAAAATCAGGGACGGGGGAAGCTAAAGGAAGTCCAGAGGATAGTGCTGGGGATGCAGCTAAGGAAGGAAGCCAGAAATCAGCAAGCAGGAAAACCCAGAGTGGGGCTTGAGAAGCCCAGACTAACGTGACCACAGCCAAAGACAAAGAATCCTCGAAGGCATCTGCTGCAGCCAAGCATTCACTGCTGCCCTCCACAAAGTCCAAGCTTTCTGGAGTGGAAACGACAACCCAGTCCTCCGCCAATGCAAAGGACCTTTCAAAGAAGGAGCCTGCTAAAAAGACAATGCAGTCCAGGAAGATCCCCATCAACTCTACACAATCCAGCCAGAGGTCCAAGTGATAATATGTCGAAGACTCGATAACAATTTCTCAAGTGCAGCTCCGAGGTGCTTTAACCATCAAACTAGACCTAAGTGTCTGACCAACATCTTTAAAGCACCTGTAGCTTTTCAGTGGTTACTGAATACCAGCTGCCATACTGGACGCTTACTGTCCACATTGTTAAATAGCTATTTAGGAATGGATTTTAACAAAGCACTTTGTATGGATTGCATTGATTTTGAGGGATATTCTACTGTATTGTAAATAAGCATGGACTCCACATGTATTGAAATGATTGCCTTGTTCTGTCCGTAGCATAGTTGGGAGACGTACATCTCAGTAGGGGGTGAAAATAAAGGTGACTTTGCACAAGATGGAAAGCAAATATACTGTAAATGGTGGAGAGATACTTTTGAGATCTATCAAACATGGACCACTCAGTCACCAAAGGACGTTTACTGGCAATTTTTAACATGCGGATGCAGTGAAATGCTGAATTATTTCCCAAAAAACGTACAGCTCTCTTTCAATATCGAGAGTCATATGTCGACAACAAACATCAGTGCCTCAGATAATCATAGTGAAGTATTTAATCTAAATTCTATAACTGCAGGTGTTGGACGATTTATAATTCAATTTTAATATTTACTAAGCACTGAAAATGTAATTTCAAGTAAAACACAATTTAGCCTATTTAACCTGAACTGCTGTTTACATATGCTCCTCAGTGTAGAATTTGTGCAACAGCCTTTAAGGAGAAGAGGAAGGAGTCTGTCACGGAGGTGCAGGAATGAAGCATGTGTCGTTGGTGTTAATTGTCTGGAGACCTTGGTTTTGTAATGATTCTTAAATGTTTTGTGTTTGATTTAGCAGTGATAACCTGTTGCCCCCACTTCCCCACCCCCCATCCCCAGATGACCTCCCCCACCAGTCACCACTTCTGCCCTCCAGCTGCTGATGCCAACACGTTCCTGCGGTGCCCATGTTCCTCATGGGGAGCAGCATCTTCAGACTGCCAGACATCTCCAAACATTCCTCTCAGATGAACACAGGGTTTATGTAAGAACAAAAACAACAACAAAAAAAGCCACGACACGCTAAGACGACATATTCAAACACAGCTGGGTTTGCCTTCGTTGAACACCATACATGTAGGTAGAGCTTTTATGGTGCGTTTGAGTCAGCCCCCTCCCCAGTTCTCTGTCTTTCACGTGTGACATTGCAGCTTGTGCACATTTCTACCTTGCATTGAACGCATAGATTAACACTAAATGCACTGAGAAAAAAAAGAAAACCCCCATCACGAAGTATACGACAGTTTTTGCATGATAAAATTGCTTATGCATGCACTTAACTATGCAAGCAGATTCTTGCTGATGCCCACACTGAGTATGTAGACGTGCTACTCTTGGATGTGTATATATTTCTAACTGTATATTTTTCCAAATGCCAGCATCGGAGAGCATGTTGAGGCATACTTTATTAAAGCTTTGTTTGCACATTTCTTCAAAACGTAATATACATTTTTGTATGAATGATAAGTATTGCTCATTCACCCTCTCAAAGTAAATCAACGCATTTGCAAAGTAATGTTTTCTGTATTGTGTTAATTCATCTCATGTTTTTACCTCACAACTTTTAACAGGTTTTAAAAGGCAATTTTTTAAAATGGTTCTTGCTGCAATTTAACGACTTGTGGTGTAACTTTAATTTCCCGTCTTTAAGAGCTGGGAAACTAAAATGATACGTTCAAATGACACCAGTGTGCATGACCTAATGTGCG